GTCCTTTCTGGAAACCATTATAGTTAATTCCTGATAAATTTGTCACAATGGTCTAATTGACCAGACTTCATCCTTATATTTCCTTACTTGCTGATATCCCACCAACTTATTCCAATAACGGTGGGGTTACCATTACATTATCATTAATTTAAAAAAAATGTTAGGTTACATGTTGGTTTGGTCTCATATGAATAGGTTAGTACTTAATCTAATACAAAATAATATAAATTTCTTGATCCATTCAAACTACGTAGTAATCAACACAAATGTCATTAGCAGCGTTTATTTTAACTCTCCGCTCCCTGAACCAGAGACAAATTGGATGCTGCACGCGGTAGGTGGCGTCCCCGCGGGTGGTGGTCGACGTCGGTAACAGGTGACGTTTAGGCCGTTTGGCGGGAACGTGTCCAATTTGTCCGCCATTTTGTTTCTAAACAAAAAAATAAAATATTAATAATTTAATTCTATAATCTAAGTTTAATTCATGATAAAGGTTGCCTGGAAAATATTGTTTTAGCGATAAGGCAGTGTTTGAAATTTTATAAGTGTAATATATATAAAATATTTTTGTATTATTCTTTAAGTGATGTAATAAAGAGTTAATAAATAAATACATTAATTTCTCAAGTTTAATGTTAAGTAAGTAGTATTTTTTGTTATTTTCCTCACGCTTACTCATGTCATTTCTCCTTTAGGAGACTATAATATCCTTTATAGAGACTATAATATTGAGAATATAATATTATATTTGGTCAAGATGATATTTACCTAATAATATCTGAGTATTTTTTCTATAAGGAAAAGGGATTGTTTGTTATAAAGACGTTAATTCCTATTGTTAGCAATATGGGGTTGGTAGATTGATAGCAAAAGTGGATATTGCTAATCAGGTCGATCTCTGTGCGGTGCCGTATATAAACTATCGTGGTTAAATCATATCTAGTGAATTTCTCGCGATAGACTAATTAACTTGACGTTTCGAGAGGAAGGGATTGTTAGTAATGCAGACTACAAGTCCTATTGCTAGCAATATACCTTGTCAGGTTGACTTTCACGTGGTCACCCTTGGAAACTATCTGACCTGTCTTTTCTTTTGATGGGCTAACTGACCTGCTTTCATCGTCACCTATCATCCGTCACTGGTGCCCCGCCAGCGTATAACGTTAGCGCAGGCGGGGTTACTATTCCATTATCATTCATAAAAAAACTGACCTGACGTCATCCACATCACTTCATCCTTCACTGGTGACCCGCCGTTGTACTGATCGTCCATAAGAAAGTATTTTTTCTTACATTAATACATATATTATAGGTAAAATAGGAAGTAATAGTGAAAATCAAGTCCATTACTTTAAGTTTTGTTCCAATTGGAAACTTGAAATTTTTCATAACTCCATGTTCCATTATACATGTGTGAATAATTTCTGTAAACGAACGAGATAAATCCTTTTTTCGTGTGTTAAATGTATTTGAATATGGCACAACAAGCGCATTCGTGTCCATGCAATTAGGTTACAAAACGTTGACCAAAGCTGTGCACATGCGTTGATACAATTGCATCCACTGACAATGCATCTCAAAGGGAACTCACACTTGAATACAATCCGTCTGTTTATAATTCTATTGCGTTATTCGATTAATTCGATTGAACCTTTCATTGTAATGTCCATAGAAGAGAAAAAACAAAACAAAACAAAGTGTCAATTCTGAAGCGCTATTTCTTATCAATTAAAATTTCAATTTGACATGATGACGATCCACTAATATGTTATTATTCAATATGATGCCTACGGCCACTTTCTATCATCGTACGGCACGCCATCGACAGGGAGTTCACCCTCATACTTTACAGCCTAAATGGTCGCGTACAATGCGGTTTCAGAGATGTTTTCTCCCACGAACACTCAGGTTATGGAATGAGCTCCGTGCCGAGGTTTTCCCAAGAGACTACAGCATGGGGTTCTTCAAAAGGGGGGTAAAGAGGTTTCTTCAGAATCGACAACGCGCGCGTAATACCTCTGGTATTGCAAGCGTTCATAGGTTACAGTAGCCGCTTACCATCAGAGTCTTTGTACAAAAGTTGTTTGCTTGTGCAATATTGTGCACCTCTGTCCCATTCGTGTTTCTACCGTGAAGCAGTTTGCATGGCTGTGCTTCAGTTTGATGGGTTGGATATGACAGTGAATTTACAGGGTACAGAAGAATAACACCTGAGTCGTCAGGAATGGCAACGCATGGATGAAACAGTATACTCTGTTATGTGCATAGTATTGCTCATGTCTATAGGCGCGGTTACCACTTTCCATTGTTTGCTATTCTAAGTTGCATAAAAAAAAAAAAAAAAAAAACTAAATTTAAAATAGATTTAAGTCAAAATTATTATAAAATAAGTTTATGTTAGTCTATAAAATAGTAATTTTGCGACACTCTCAAATTAAAATATTAAATTAGAAATTTAGATTATATACATAGTCTCCATACAAATGCTTCGAGAAAAGGGGGGTCAACTTTTTCGTATAATTTTGCGTGATAAATAGTTATGAGTAATTCCTTAATAACATCTATATTTTTTTTTGTTTTATAATTTTTGCATCTTTTTATGTGTTAAAACTTATTTTATTTATTAAATAGTAAAATATAGATACGTCAAGATACGTTGTGTGTATAAGTATATAGAACACTATTAAAAAAAAAACGGATTAGCTAATTTGATAAATAACTGACAAAAATTTGAATTATTTTTGATACTCGATGCTCTATCTACTTAATCTAAGAAATAAGTTTAGAGAATTGACCCCAATGTCATAGTATTATTATTATCTATTGCAAATATGGATGAAATGGATAAGATAATAGAAAAATAATATTTGAATAGAATATTATGGTAAGTACATAAAAACCGTAAATTAGTACCTAGGTCGTAACGAATGGATTAGATACGTAATTTTATGTTTACGTACCTATAATAAATTTTATTGTCATTAAGTAACTAGGTAAATAAGTACCTACCTATTTATTAGGGGTGTAAATATTATGCATGTACCCTCTTAATAAATCTAATAAGTGCCCACTTAAATGGCTACTTACCTTAATTTGCCAGAGGTGCCAAAAAAAAAAACAAATACCGACATACTATATCAAAGATCGGCTACGTATTGGTGATTTCCATGGTGTTGTTAGTGTCTATGGGTAACGGTGATCATTTACTATTAAGTGAACCGCATGCTCATTTCAAAAAATGTCTAAATAGAGTAGTATCTAGTACAAAGTAATCACTGTATCTAGTAAGTAGTAATAACACCACATTTGAAGGTAAGTACATAGTTTTTTCTCAAACATGCTTGGAAATGTGAGCATTATTTTGACAATCTTCTTCGAGATAAATCAAAATTGCCGTATTGTTCGTTATTCGTCATTGAACTTAAAAAGTAAAAATGTATTTTTTATTTCCGCGCATTGTTTGAGAAAAGTACTATACTAGCCTTGGCCACAACTAGGCATTGATGGACTCACGTATGTGTGCCTCGGCTACGCCTCGGCCCACATTTGCACGTTCGTCCATCAATGCCTCAGTTGCTGGCCGCTCCAGTAATGTACTATTTTAATATAATTATTCTGTTAAGCATTATATACTTATAATATCTGTGGTTTCAATAAAACAATGAAAACGGCAACCAATTTTTCTACTAAAATAATATCAATTTTTTTTATTTGTTCTATACAGGTATCTACCTACATGGCAGAATGTCTTATAATCTAATTAATTATTTGTTTATACTGTCGTTACATTCTATAGAAACAGACTAAAGTAAATTACAGTATTATCTATGTACATGTATTTATGATAATGATAATCATAAAACCTTATTGCGGTTGAAGCGATTGTTAGTAATGGGGAGGTTAGTTCCCATTGCTATCAATATACATACCCTATTTCACGCCGTTCCTCCTGGAAACTATTGTGACTAATTTATCATTGAATTCGTCACGATGGGCTAACTGACCTGCCTTTTCATCCTCACCTATCATCTCTCACTAGTACCCCGCCAGTGTATACCAATAGAGCAGGCGAGGTTATCATGCCATTTTCACCCATTAAAAAACCTTACTGCGTCCCAACCAACATAGGTAGGTAACAGCTTTAAAAATATTTGAAAATTAGATATTATTCTGTATCAATAGCACCATCTGTTTAAATACAATTGTAGTTTATTTTAAGTACCTAGTTGGATCTATAGTTTTTAAAATAATCAACAGGTGGCGCTTTACTTTGCTTTACATACACACAATATTTGCGACAAAATATCCAAATATCCATATTGTTCGTGCAATAGACAATTACTTTTTATTAAATTTTATCCTAATTTTAATAAAATTTAATTTTATTAAACAAAGTAGTTTAAATACCTACCTACCTAGCCAAAGTGTCGTGGAAAATATAGAGTAATGTTACCACTACTAAAATATAATTACGTTCATTCATTTGAATTTTGGATTTACGAATCAAAAATCTAAATTTATCTTTTTATTCCTATTTCATAATTTATTATTTTTATTAAAATAAATATTTATCATTATTTATTCAACAATGTAATATCCCACGAGATTACTGGCTACTATAAATACACTGAAACTTTTTAAAAAGTTAATAAAAGCCCGCGAAATTCAGTAAATTATTATTAGATTATTATATACTTTAAAAAAAATAAGTAAGTATAAATATTATTTTTAATAAGTATTAATTAGTAAACATAAGTGATGTTTACGTTAATTTCGAATACATTTTAACTTCTGTAGCAGCAACACTGTGGCGAGTAGGCACGTATAATTTTATACACATGTAGGTCAATGAAAAAAATGGCTTAGCACTAAAAGCTCGTATGTATCGTGGCAAGGAATAATTTTTAATTTAAATGGCCTTCAGTGATTTATGTCACATAGGTAATGCGTATAAAACCGTCGAAAATGAAACAGATCAGGTAAGTGGTGCAGTGTTGTGTAAACTAGTGCCATTTTCATGGGTGTTGTAAATGTCTCAATCTGTCATTCTGACCCAAAATCCGGGAAAAAATTTCGATAAATATCTCTCATAAGTGCTTGTTATGATGAAGTGCCGTGTTAAATAAGATTGCGAATTGTGCAAAAAACAGTAATCAGTGAGTGTGGCGGTTTCGAATAACATATTTTTTGCTCAGAGGTGAATGATGACATCTGAAGAATGCACACAATATTTTTAGAATTATGTAGTTTGCACGTTAGAGGACAGAACAACAAGGTAACACACGCATAATATAGTAAACATATTACTCAATCCGAATAAGGGGTTCGTCCTCTGCTCTATCATCAATATTCTTATTAGGTAATGAGTGGGACATACAATCTAAGTATACAATATGCTAAATATTGTCTTACTTTCTCTAAATATTTTGTTTATGTAGTGTCCTTCATTTTTAACTCTTAGTCATTTGTGTATAGTGGGTATAGTAAACAATGTCCAATATATTATGATTGTTGCTTCTGTAAATGTTATAAAGTTGTTATCTGTTTTCCGGATCTAACTGATAACTACAATGTTTATAAAGGCATTTCCTTCACTGTTTGTTGAACAATAAGTGCATTAATATGTACAGGCATGCTTTAAAATTATAATATTTGTAAAACAATCCTGGACTAACATAACAGATGTAAGTACAGACAATATCATGTTCCATTACTTATTTCATATGTATTTATTAGAAGTTGTTAAAATATTGAATGTTGCTTACTCACCATTTAGGCTACAAAACTAGGACAATTAAAAACATAAACAAGTAAATATAGAGAAATGATTTCATATGCAAATTAATTACTTAAATGTATAAAATATGAATTGGACTCTATTCGTATTTAGTCACTTTAAACAAATTAAGTAATTATTTATATGTAATGTCATTATTACTGTTTTATTTTTATCATAATTTACTATTATCCTGGTGTTTTGCACCTATATTATTTTTTTGAAAGTAAGTTATTTAGGTAATTAATAAATAATATATAAGTATCTACTTATATAATTTACACAATAAGTTTTTTTACTTATAATTTCAATGCAGAACTGTAACACTTGTGTAAGTACATATGTGTTGATATTTTTATGTATCATTATAGTAATAGTGTAGACCGCCACATCATATATAGACCATGTACTGTCTAAGACACCACTGTCTTGACAGCTAATCTAGATTATCCAGAAAGTGTATGCAAGAGATGAGTTATAAAAGTAGATGACAATAAGAGAAGTGTTTAACAATATATGCTTTTGCCTGTAAGGGAACTGGTTCAAGTCATACATGATTATTTTAATCCCAGATATTTTGCAAACTGCCATCATATTTACTGAATAAATAAATCACATATTGATTTTATTTCGCATAATACAATGAGACAAGAGGCAAATGCAACATAGGAATTTAAAAAATATAAACAAAATACATATACACATTGGTATATTTAGGGTTATTTTCTGGGGGACGACTAGCCCCTTGAAAAAGGCATATATGTACTCTCAGATACATCTTAGTGAAGCTTTGCTCACACATTGGGGTTGGCATGGATCATACCTATAAATATACAATACTTCATCATATCAGCCTTTAATCGTCCACAGCTGAACATAAGGCTCCCCTTTGGGTGGTTCTACCAGTAGTTGCCACTCTTGGCAGGTGGATTGGCAACCACAGTGAGGCTTAAGAAATGTTTAAGAGGGCCGCTGCTGCCCATCCCTCATCCTCTCTTAGTTAATTCTTATGACACCCACGGGAAAGGCCTATTCCATGCCGGGACCATACGGCCAAATATACAATACTTATATATCTATAAATAATAAAAGGCAATTTTTGTGTTAAAATCAATCTTTTCATATAACTCTGTATGCAAATAATTGGATATTAAATAATACTTAAAATAGTGTATGTATAATAACTATATAAGTACTTAATAATAACAAAAATACATTAGCCGTAAACCTATAACATAATGATTTAAAGTTCTTAAACCAATAAGCAATTCCATCTAATATGGAACATTTATGCAACAAACATTTAAAAATCTATTAAGGTAATAAGGGTAATTGTGTAACAAACATCATCACAAACTAATATGTTTATATCATTGTAGGGCTAATTATTTCATTTCTTAATTTTCGGCTGAATAAATTTTTCATTTATTTTTTTAAATAAAGAAAATATTTTTATTTAAAGAAACAAAAAGTTTATTATTATTATATCAGTCGTTAACCATCCACTGCTGAATAGAGGCCCCCCCATTGGGCGGTCTGTCAATAGTTGCCAAACTTGGCAGGCGGGTTGGCAACTGCAGTTAGGCTTTAGTGTATGTTTAAGAAGGAGACCAATGCCTATCTCTCAACCATAAAGAAAGAATGCTTATATAGGCATTTGTGAATAGTGATTTTTTTTATAAATCTATCACCCAGTTCAGAATACAATTTATAATGAATTAAATACAATAATTTTTTTTTTTTTTAAGTAAACTTCAATATGGGGCAATTGTTTTATATAGATATTTCTAATTAGTTCAATGGCACTGATTGATTTGTAAAATGAAATAAATTCAAAACATGGAAATTGCAAAAATATTGCTTATGCAATCTTAGAGCTTCCTCAACGATATATTGAAATAACTCACATACTATTCTCATTATGTAAATTGGCAACAATCTAGCTGTTTAACAAAAATAAACCATGCTACATTGTTGCATGATAATTGCACAAATTAAGTACATATAGGTATTATTATTAATAGGTTGTGAACTGGAATATTTATAATATACAGGGTGTCCGGTAATGAATGGATAACCTTGAAACATCTTATAGTTCAACTTATGACCATCTTAAAAAAATACGAAACATAATATATCATAAGTAGTACCTTTGTTATCTTTATTTTAAAGAAAAGTCAAATATTTTCTATCATATTTTACTGTCCTGATCACTATGACCAGAAATGAATGAATTCTATTGGTTTTTTGTTGTTTTATTATTATACACTAACTGTGCTGATAGATAGAAAGTGAATAGTATGACTAGCTATTGCAGTTTTTTTTTTTAATACACAAACTATTTTTGAAAAATATGCAAAAAAAAATTTTTTTAAGCAAAGTTCAAACCTCTTGGATATAAAAAAAATTACCAATAATTTTAATATAATGTCTGTTTCAAGTAGATTTCACAATGGTACAATTCATAACTGTATCTATCATTAATAGTGATTTTTAAAAAATTTACTTTTCTTTAAAGATAACAAAGGTACTACTTTGATATATTTTGTTTCGTATTTTTTTAGGACGGTCATAAGTTGAACTATAAGACGTTTTAAGGTTATCCATTCATTACCGGACACCATGTATAATATTCTGCTATATCATAGTGCATTCGTTATTTCTTACAAAAAAAAAGGTAATAAATAATGAAATGATTTGGAAATTAATTCATTGTGCAAACTAATTAAAAACGTTTATAATAAAATGTGATAAAAAATCTGAATTTGTATTCATGCTGCTGTAAATGACATTAGGAATTGTTAATTAGTTTGAGAATGCAATTAACATAAAAAAATTCTATGTCCCAAAGTTTGTTCATACTAAACTCTGAAACAAACTAATCAATTTTTATAAAATATTGAAAATATGTATAGCTTGCTTCAACTTGTAAATAAAGACTTTTTTTTTACGCACAACGGCCCAAATGAGAGGCTAAGCGCGGAAAACAGTCTTTCTCACAAGACTTTTTTTGTTATGGATAAACTCACAACATACTCAACTAATTTAAAAAACCATTCACATATGTCAGGAAGTCACAATATCAATGTACAGTGTAACAAAACAGAGTCCATGATTATATTAAAAAAAAAAAGTCTACCTATCTATTCATGCAAAGCTGGGGTCTGTAGCTAGTAATTCATAATTTTATATACATAGATAGATAGATACTCTTTATTGTTTCCACCAAAAGATTACAATAGTAAACTTAGTATAGATACAAATATTTACAAGAAATGATCACAGTGTGAAAACAATGGACATCCTTATCCCTAAAAGCTATATACTACTATACTATATACAATTTTTCATTCTTCACCAAGACATTATCACTTGTGCTTATATGGAATTTGCTAATTTTTTTTCCAGTCGGAACGCATTATGGAAGAAAACTCGATGGTCCGTGATCTCATCACAAAGATCCTCGATGAGACTGGACCTGCAGAAGGGAGCAGGTGAGCTTGACTTTCATATTAAAGATCAGTTGCTAACTGGTTTATTGAAAAAGAATAAATATCGTTCACCCTAACCATATAACAACCATATTCATAATTGCGATAATAATGGATTACCATAATAACAAAAAAAAAAAAATTAAAACCTTTTGTTTTAATTTCTGGTGCCACTAACCACAATAGCCTATAGTAGATAATACTATATACTGGGGGGAAAGGGATTGTTAGTAATGGAGACTGAGAATCCCGTTGCTAGCAATATACCCAACCAGGTCGACCTCCTCGCGGTTCCCCATGGAAACTATCATGGTTAATTCCTGATGAATTCATCATGATGGGCTAACTGGCCTGTTTTCATTCTCATCTATCACCCTTCACTGGTGCTCCGCCAGCGTATCCCGTTAGCACAGGCGGGGTTACCATACCATTTTCACCCAGCAAAAAAATACTATGTACTTGCACTATTTAAATTATCTTAGAATTCGATCGTAATAGGAAATAGTAGATTTTGATTCTTCACTCAAGCCATTAACAGATTGTTATTAAAATCTTTATAATATTGTATGTAAGTAGTATTAGTGTAAGTAGTAGTATTATTTATTTATTCTTTATTGCACTTTATTTCCCAAAGAGGGTTGACGTCAGGCAGGTGGCCGGTTGTAAAACTAAAAACCAAATCTTTTTGTAATATGGATAAAATCATATTACGCCGACCCCAAATGATTGGGACAAGAGTAGGAGGAAGATGATTCTTTATTGTACTTTAAAACTTTATACAAGTGGCGAGCTTAATGCCATATGGTATTCTCTACTAGCTAACTATTAAGTAAAAACAGAAAGCGTATGAAGAATAGATGTAGTAAAATATATGTGACAACTATAGTAACATACTGATATATATACATAATACATAAGAAATACACATATAATACATAAACAACACACATTATAATACAAATTCAAATAAATAAATAAATATCAAAACAACGATAAACATTATCAGATATAGTAACTGTTGAGTAGCTTGTAACTACAGCTGGTTTTGTTGACTCAACAAATAATTCAAGTCTTCTTTTAAAAATATTACATTAGCATTATTTTAAGGTAGAGTTCTACTAATGAAATACCAATATTAAATTACTCTAATTTTTCTAGGTACCAATTGTGTCATTCTTGCTTATTTTTATTTGCAAGGTTGCTATACAGTATAGAGGTGACTCATTGATCTGTTTTCATGTTCCGGATTCGATATCACGACGTGACAATTATCTGTATTCTAAATAAACATTAGGAAGTACCTATTTGTTTTTGTAATTTACGTTAAATATGTCTCAATTGGTTCACATCTCAAATATCTCTATATATGAATTACCGCTAAAGATATTTTGATTGAAGTTAACAAAATTCCCCTTTATACCAGCTTTTTCTTGCACTTTGTAGCATCTATTTCATATAGATGGAGACTACAAAAGTCGATTGTTTGGGTACCTCTGTCCCCATTCGTGTTTCAACCGTGAAGCAATGACAAACAAGTTGACGGTCCACCTGATGGAAAGTGGTAACCGTCGCCTATAGATATGAGCAGTAACATGGATATAACAGAGTATACTGTTTCGCCCATGATACCCCCCATGCGTTGCCATTCCTGAGGACTCAGGTGTTATTCCTCTGTACCCAGTAAATTCACGCCATATCCCATCCTTCAAACCGAAACAGCCATGCAAACACAATTGCTTCACGGTTAAAACACGAATGTGACAGAGGTACCCAAGCAATCGACTTTTGTACAAAGTCTCCCTCTTTATTTTTATCAAACACAAAGCATGCTGTGGTAAAATCCATCCAGACAAAATTTCTAATAATCATAATTTTTTTTTCTAAGACCCCCTCATATATATTTTTCTTAAATATCTTCCATGTACAGACATCGTTTAGTTACAATTTTATTATATAGATAGATAATTTTATTTGCATTACTTACAGCACACAAATATAAGTATGAGTATCAATCAGACATCATATATTTTGTTGTGGATTTTAAGTATCTGTTTTGTGTGATATTTTTTAGTGCTCTTATGAACTTTCCAAAGCCGTCTACTCTACATTATTTTTATATGTAACATCCATATCATGTACATTCATATGCTGGTTTACTCATATCCCTTAGGCATTAAATAGGTATTTTATATCAGTAGTGTTTGTTTAGGTGGTGTCGTCTTATCTATATTTGACGTGAAGTAGAACAACGACGTAGCTTTGTTTTGTCTGGTAGGTTAGTTAAATAGCTAGTATTTCTGAGGATTAAAGTATATGGTAAGACTAAGTAAGAGGTAAATTGTCTTCTCTGAAGACTACTTCAGAAGAGGTAACTCACAAAAGCTGCTAAAGTCGTCACCGGATTCTGTGATTTACATGGTGTTACAATTTTCTAATGATATCATAGAAAAATACTCAGAGTTTTCATAATATGACTTTAAATAAATTAATCAAAAGTTAATCTAAATATTTGTAAAATGAGTAGTTTTCGATCAATAGTGTTTATTAGCAGTTTCACAATAGTTAAAACTTTTTTTTCAGCTCTATTCAATCATCGGAAAAGACTTTAAGCATGCCATCGAATAACGCGCAATACCCCAAAAGTGATACAAACACACCGTTCATGCCACCATCGTTTAATTACCAGAATAATCCGTACAATTTTGGTCAAAACGAACAAAATGGATTCAACTTCAATTTACAAAACGGTTTCGGTAATTCGAACTTCGTCAATTATCCTGACAGTGACGTAGCGCTGCTAGGTGTGGACTCAATCACCGACTCCTCGGATGTGACCCCAGAACAACTGAATCTTCTCAGGTTGGCCGCCCAAGAAATCGGCGGCGCCCAATTCTCAAGCCCCAATGAAAAGTATAACTATAATTTCTTCGAACTAAACCAAAGAAACTCACTACCTGATACAATGTTCCCCGCTAATAACTTTAATAGACCCAACAGTCTTAACTTAGACATGAACTACAACTCGAATTTCGATAGCACTTTTAATAACACCCAAAGATTTCCGAATAAATTTGAGAATTTCAAAGAGCAAAATCAGGATACGGATTTGTTGGCTTACTTGAGCCAGTTGAATCTATCTCTAGAACGTGGTCGCGATGAGACAATGCAAAACATGGACTACAAACTGCCCATGGATAATGGACATTACCAGGGCGAGGATTTCAATAAAATGCAGGACAATAAAATGTTCTACAATAGAAATTTTCCACCGCCTCAGAAGAACTTTAACGGGGACAATTTCTATGACATGATGTCTCAAATGAATGAAAGGAATCCGATGGGTCAGAACTTCGAATATAACCAGTCGACACCTGTGTCGACGGGTAACACCATAAATTATAAGCCTAATGGTTTCCACCAGAACGACTTTATGCAGCGTCGCGACATGAACCAGGTGATGCAACGGGACAATTTCCAAGCGAATGGTGCTATGAATGAGCAGAGAGGTAATTTCGATAATGGATTAGGAAGAGATAATGGACAGCAAGCTGCTATTATGAGGCAGAATCAGGAGTTGGCGAGGCAAATGAGCCTGTTAATGAGAAATCGACCTCCTCCCAATCAGCTCAATGTTGACGTTTCATTTTTGCCAGATAATGCTCCGTTTAATCTTGGTAAGTGTTTTTATATATCTTATGTATGCTAGTGTGGTTCCAACAAATTGAGCCATAGTTGCTTATGCAGTAAATCTTTTTTGTCAGGTTTGGGCGCGCTGTTAGGACCCAGCCCACCAGTACCGCCTCCTGTATTGGCATCGCCAATGTTAGATCTACCTCTGTTAGCACCCTTTTATGCTATGAGGAATATGAGGTAATAACATTTCAAAAATATATATAATTATCAAATATTTTATTATCCGAAAAAAGTGTCTTGTGCTTTTTGTGTCCAATACTGAGCCTATGTTCACCTTCCCCGTAGGGGAGTCTTGCAAGTAGTTGGCAAGCTTAGCAGGCGGATTGACAACCGCAGTTAGGCTTTGGTGATATTCTAAGAGGGATGCTGTGACCCATTCTTTGACCACTAAGTTCCCTTAGTCCTCTAACAACACCGACGTAAAAGGAAGGGGTTGTCCATTCTATGCCGAGTTTACAAGGCAATGATATGACATGTGGTACGATATAAAATCCACGAATTGTTGAGGGATAAAATTTTCTATAAAGGAGTTCTATGTTCAACAATGGATGACTAGTAGATAAAATTTGTATATCTTATAAATCCTTGGCATCCAATCACAATGAACATTTCAAGACGTCTCAGATACGACCATAAATATATAGGCTTTAAAACGAAATAATAGTTTGGCGCTACCATGATAAGCTATCGTCGTCACTGTAATATTTTTATGACAAAACAATTACAGGCACTTGGCTGACACCACAAATCTTGGGTGCTAATTTAAGTTTTTATAACATCCAATTCCAATATGCTCAGTTTATACATCAAGGATTTACAATCGTGTGAATAATTCTAATTTACTGATTGTGCAGAGGGGCGGCGACATCATCAGGGATACTGCACGCGCGATTGGACGCATGTTACGAGCAGTGGCGGCAGCTTGAGCGCGAGCGGAAGCGGACAGAGGCGCGGCTGGCGTTAGCCTACCCTGGTCGTGCTGTGTCCTCTTCCAACTCCATCCCCGTGCCGCGTCTGCCGCCTTGTCCTACCAGGGTTGACCGTCTCACCGTCGACATGCTCAGGGAGCACACCAAGGTAATATAACGCAGGGAGAAGGGTTGAAGGGATTGTTAGTAACTCGGGACTACCAATCCCATTGCTAGCAACATACACTGTCAGGTCGAACTTGTCGCGGATTACCCTAGAAACCTTCGCCCTTAATTTTAGTTCAATTCATTGTGATGGGGTAATCGATTTGCCTTTTCATCCTCACCTATCAAACTTCACTGGTGCTCCGGCAGCGTATACCGTCAGAGTAGGCAGGGTTACCATTCCATCATCATCCATTAAAAAAGGATTAGTATCGGTAAGTCAACAGAAAGCGTTAAAAGAAACTATTAGCATTCTCCTAAGGGAATGTTCTGCCAATCGGAGTGTTTGTCCCAAGCAGAGAAACGATAAAAATTGTAAGTTTGACAAGACAAATTGACGTATAGTATGGAAGGTTTAAAATTTTTAACTTATTTTTCAGCATATTTATGTCTTTGGAAAATTATTTAGAAACATGAGTAGAAATACATCTCGTGGTTTAAATATTTTCAGTGTTTTTCATATATTGTGTAATGCTTGTTGTACGTGATTAAATATTGTGTAATAAATCTCTTTTTACCACGAAAATGCTGATATATATATCATCCAAGACGATCAGACTTACGAGGGCCAATGTCTTCTTATTAAAAAAATTAGGGGAGGCTAATTGAAATTGTCCTAAATATAACATAAATCATTCAACGCATTCGATTAGTATTTAGGGTGATGGCAAATCCTATTAACATTATAAAAGCAGATGTTTGTAACGATGGATGGATGTTTGTTACTCTTTACCAAAAAAACTACTAAACAGATTTGGTACACGGATCAGTTGTATGTTACATAACATAGCACATAGAGTATATATTGATTCACGTAGGCACAGTCGACGAATAAAACTAGTATCTTAAAAAACAAAAAAAAATGTTTCTAGGTATTAACATTAATGGGCAAGATGGAAACTCTGCGTGCAAGCGTTTGCGTGGCGCAAAACAAGAAACCGAACAAACCGGAGGACGGCAAGATAACCGTGCTGAAGCGAGGGCAGGAGAACGTCAGTGATAAGGAGAAGGCGACAGGCGTCGACTCGGCGACCTTCGACCCCACCACGTGGAAGGACGACGTCAAGAATTTGGCTGAAATGTGAGTTGTCCTTGGATTTTTGTCAATTTCTCATTTCTCATTCTTCATCAATGGTAAACCGATTTGAAAACTCTTTTTTTATTTAAAAGAATATACTTAGAGTTTTATCCCATAGAAATTTTATCAAAATGAATTCAGTAGTTTAGTTTTGAAATTAAAATAACTGATTGTCACAATTGAATAGAAGTTATTGTTGATTATACAATTTTTATAGTTATAATATATTAAATGAAAACCATTTATTATATACAATAAACTATTATTAATATATTGGCCATTAACTGTCCACTGCTGTACATAGGCCTACCCTATGAGGGAGTATTGCCAGTGGTTACCATGCTTGGCAAGTGGGTTGGCAAATGCAGTTAGGCTCTGGTGATATTGTAAGAGGGGTGCTTCTGCCCATCTCTCTACCATTAAGTCCATTACCTTAGTTATCTCTACAGCATCAATGAGAAAGGAAGCGGTCGCTTATTCTATGCCGGCACCACACGGTCATATATTTTGTTCAACAATAGAATAAAAAAAAAATTTACAGTTGTAACTGTAAATTTTTTACTGTAGTAAATAATAATAAATAATTCTTTATTAAGGTTACCAGGATCCACTTGTCATATTTTACAAATAGTTATAGTACATTACTGCAGCGGCCAGCAACTGAGGCATTGATGGACGAACGTGCAAATGTGCGCCGAGGCGTAGCCGAGGCACACATACGTGAGTCCATCAATGCCTAGTTGTGGCCAAGGCTTGTATAGTACTTTTCTCAAACAATGCGCGGAAATCAAAAACAATTTTACTTTTTAAGTTCAATGACGAATAACGAACAATAATAATTTCACGCGCCATAATGGTCTTTTGTTTTTTTTTTTTTTTCAATAAACAGCTTTCTATTTGCAAGCTCCTTGGTAGCCATGTTTCGAAGTAAAAGGTCATTCCATTTTTAAATTACAAGACAGATATGAGTTTATATAGTAATATATCTGGCCGCAAAACACGACAGATATGGATTTTCATACAATTTTTGCCGACCGCTGCCCGCATGTACGGCCAGTACGGCAATTTAGATTTATCTCGAAGAAGATTGTCAAAATAATTCTCACATTTCCAAGCATATTTGAGAAAAAAGCATTTGTCGGTGTGTGCAGTGCTCCGCACAGCGAGGTGGAGAGTGCGATGCTGGCGTGGCGCAGCGCGGTGGGCGCCGTGCAGGCCGCGCGCCGCCGCGAGCTGGCCCCGCACCACCAGCACCAGCACCAGCACCAGCACCATCAGCACCAGCACCACCACCAGCACCAGCAGCGGTACATGCGGCCCGACCGTGAGTACACATCGCACTACTGCACTTAGGGCTTGTTACTAATGGGAATTAGCAATTCCGTTGCTAGCTATTGCTACCCTGTCAGGTTGACCTTCACGCGGTCTCTCCTGGAAACCATCGTAATTAATTCTTGTTTAATTCATCACGATGGGCCAACTGATCTGCTTCAACATCTGTCATCCATCACTGGTGCCCTGCTAACATATACCGATAGTTTCCTTTTAGTTTCATATATATATATTCTGTGTTTTGGTTTGAAGGGTAGGATATATAGGAATTTACAGGGTACAGAGGAATAACACCTGAGTCCTCAGGAATGGCAACGCATGGGGGTATCATGGGCGAAACAGTATACTCTGTTATGTCCATGGTACTACCCATGTCTATAGGCGACGGTTATCACTTTTCATCAGGTGGGCCGTCAGCTTGTTTGTCATTCTAAGTTGTATAAAAAAAAATATATAGCGTGAATTTACAGGGTACAAAGGAATAACACCTGAGTCCTCAGGAATGGCAACGCATAGGAGGTATCATGGGCGAAACAGTATACTATGTTATGTCCATGTTACTGCTCATTGTCTATAGGCGACGGTTACCCCTTTCCATCAGGTGGACCGTCAGCTTGTTTGTTATTCTAAGTTGTATAAAAAAAATATAAAAGATGATAACTAGCTACTACTGTTGTGAGTTTAAAAGTGGTGAAGCATGTATGGTGAAGGAGTCAGACATGAAGCCAGACTGGTAATAATGATATGTCAATCCAACAGCCATCCTGCAATTAGCGGAAGCGGTGAAACAACTGGGCATTTGCGCTCGTCGAGCTCGCTGTGCCATGTGGTGCGACCTCACGCTCACGGTCGCGCTCGCGCCGCGGGACTCGCCGCCCGCGCCCGCCGCCGCCACGCCCGCCACCGCCGCCACCACCGCCGCCACCACCGCCACCACGCAGCCCACAACCCCCGCCACCACAACGCCCGCCAATACCAAGCCCGCTGCGGTGAGTTATCTGTTTTATTATCATCGAATTTCTGTTGTGAAACTCTGTCACATTCATCACGCTCGCCACAACTCCTGCTATCGCAATGTCTGTACGGAACCTGAATGTGATGAGTTATTTATTTGTGTTTATCACCAGTTACTATTATCACTTTCATTGCCATGTTTGCCACGATCGTCATCACGCTTGCCAATACCGAACCCATTGCTGTGGTGTATACGTATTATCGAACTGTGGCTGTGACACTCGCCAACTGCAATTATTGCCATCATCACCACGTCTACCACAGTCGTCACGCTCGCCACAATTTTCACCACGACTACGCCTACCATAGCCAAACCGCCTTTTATTTGTTACGTCCTTCAAGTTGTAGCATAAAATTTCATTAAAATCAGTCGTGTCGGTTTCGGAGATTAATGTGAAAGAGATTTTCATAAAGATGAAGTTGAATGAAGAATTATAGAAATAGTGTTTTATCTGCCTATAAAAAAATATTCTAGAAATGGGTAATATCCGATATCTATATATTGAGTTCTCTTGGATATAATGATGGATTATAAGATTGTCTAAAACTAAACATATATTTAAAAAAGAATTAAAAAAGTAATAATTAATAAAGAAAAAATTGGCATACCTAATAGGTACGTAGTGGAAATATTTATTACCTGAATGCCCGAATGTGACAGAAAGTGATCTCTGACTACCTCTCATCTAATGGTATCTGTTATTTATTTATTTAGAATATAATATCAAATGGAGGCAAATGTAATGGACTGGACATACACAATGCATTTTATTCATATTTCTTTTTATTATTATTTTTAATAAGGAATTTCGCCACTGACTCTTTGCCACAACAGAATATCAGTGTTTTGCTCTTTTGAGGGCAAAGAAATAAACTTGAGTTGTGACCATTTTGTATTACTATGGCACACGCGTGAAAAAAAAAAGGAAATTGTTGTTTTATATATTTTGCTTTTTTATTTTTATTCTTTTATCTCTTTTACTGTGTATTATTTTTATGTTTGTATTGTAATTTGTGTGCTGTAAGTAATGTAAATAAATTATCTAAATATATATTTATATTCATTACGAGCAGGTTCTTTTTTCGATATTGTATATTGGGCAACCGATAGTTAATATATCTATTATTGAGCCAATATATGTATAGATACTGTAACTACAATATATAGATATTACTATATATTACCCAGCCTTAGATGATTCCATATTATATTTTGCAGAATGAAGCTCCCGCGCAGTTTGCAACACAAACGGCGCAGAAGCAAGTACAAGACTCCGTCAACAATTCGAACCAAAGTAATTCGAAACAGGCGCCCACTGAGAATAAAGAGGTACGTCTACTATCTTATTTATAACTAGAGGCCCGTCCCGGCTTCGCACGGGTGGATATTTTTACATTTTAAAAAGTGGCCATTAAGGCTGTACACGCGACGGTAGCTTAAAAATGGAGTAACTTCTTCCGTTTTCCCAACATTTCCCTTCACTGCTCTACTCCTATTGATCGTAGCGTGATGAAAAGTATACTATAATCTGCCCAGGAGTATGAAGAATAACTGTACCAAGTTTCGTTAAAATCCGTCGAGTAGTTTTTGTTTCTATAACGAACATACAGACAGACAGACAAAAATTTTACTGATTGCATTTTTGGCATCAGTATCGATCACTAATCACCCCCTGATAGTTATTTTGGAAATATATTTCATGTACAGAATTGACCTCTCTACAGATTTATTATAAGTAAAGATAGATTGTTTTAAACCGACTTCTAAATGGAGGTTCTCAATTCGATTGAATTTTTTGCGATAATATGACATTACGTCGCCAATTCTGACACCCCTTTTTGCATACGATAGGGTTTACTCGTGTATTGGTACTTTATTAATTATATGACGATTAATATTGCCGTTTTTCTTTGTGGAGCAAAAAACTACTTATTACAAAGAACAATGTTGCAAGTGTATAATTATATATTTCTACTATCTATTTATCTATTATTCTTTCTACCATCGTACGGCTCGCCATCGACAGAGAGTTCATCCTCATGTCCTACAGCCTCAATGGTCGCGTACTGCGCGGTTTTAGAGATGTTTCCTCCCACGAACACTCAGGTTGTGAAATGAGCTCCCTGCCTAGGTTTTCCCAAGTGACTACAGCATGGGGTTCTACAAAAGGGGGGTAAAGAGGTTTCTTCAGGGTCGGCAACGTACGCGTAATACCTCTGGTATTGCAGGTGTTCATAGGCTACGGTAACCACTTACCATCAGGTGGGCCGTATGCTTGTATGCCAACTCAGTGGTATAAAAAAAATATATATTATTAATGTAAAGGTGTTTAAGAAAGATACTGTCTTTATCATTGTATGTGTTCACGATTTAAGTAATTTTTTGGGAAGCCAATATTTTTTTTATGCAAATAAGAATGGTAAACAAGCTTACGGCCCACCTGTTGGAAAGTGGTAACCGTCGCCTATATACATGAGTAGCACCATGGACATAACAGAGTACATGGTACTATTTCGCACATGATATCCCCCAATATACGTGAGACTAGCGATTCCGCCCAGTTTTGTACGGGTAGATTAGTATTTTCTAAAACAATGCCTATGTCATTTGTTGATAATGTAGCTTTCTATATGTGTAAGTTACTTTTTCATGCAAAAACTACTGAACAGATTTGAATGAAATTTAGTGCACGGTTATATCCTACTTACTTACTTAGCACTAATAGAGCAATTTATATGCGGACTCACGCGGGCGACGCCGCGGGATGCAACTAGTATTAGTGTACATTAAAACTACTTGAGATTAAATATCAAGTATAAATCGCCTCTTGTGTAAGTGCTTTTTATATTATTCTCAATTTCGTGTATAATATAGTATATATCATATATGTGTAAGTATATTTGTTATTTATATATATTTATTCGTTTATATATGTAATTTTAGTATGTATGACTATCAATAATTAGTAGTACCGCATTCGAGTATTCTGACACTTCCCTATGGTTGACTGGGAGAGAATGCTTTTAGCATTAAGTCCGCCATGTACACATATTTGTACTAATGAATAAATAAATAAATAAATAATTAACAAAAAAAAAACTTACAGGAGAAGCCCAACGAAACGCAAACAACAAAGAGCGACACCAAAACGGAGAACAACGCGAACAAAACGAACAAACAGCCGGAGAAACAGCAAGACAAGAACCAGCAGCGGCGCACGCAGAACTACAGGAAGGTGAACCAGGGCAGGAACGATTTCTATCAGAAGAATCAGAGGTACGACAACAGGTTCATGCACAGCCGACATCCGTATCACTATTTGGCTACGGGCCCCATCAATTGACTTTAATCTTAATACAAAATATACACGTGTTCTATTAAAGTTACAGTTTAAATTTCAATACTGCAATATGCGGAAAGCTATAGGAAATTCTCGGGTGAGATTGTCTAGTACAAATAATACAAGTTTTACTTACGTCGGAACTAGATGGCGCTGTAAAGTGAATTTTGTTTATTTAATAATTAATTAATTATTACAGTACAGAGATTTGTATGAAATTTAATATGCAATTATATAATGGTAGATATTTATATTTATTTTCACTGTCAATTGGTAGACATTTGAGATAATCCATTTTATACTTTAAAATTGGAATGCGACAAATTTACGTCAAACGGTGACGTCTTTTTGACATGTATTTAATCGATCAATCGTCGATGAGATTTAGCTTTGTATCTAATTCGGTTAAAAGAAGAGTTTTGTAGAATGTTATATAAAATTCGTATGCAATTACACAAGGATGAATATTCATAATGCACTGTCAGATTCAAATTGGTATGTCCATATTATGTTAGCTCCGTTATTTTAAAGCGAGTATTCACCAGGCTTGTTTGCTTGTGAATGTACTTCAAAAGTAAATATTACATAGAATATTCTGTGGATGTATCAATGATATGAGCATATAAATGTGACTTTCTTTCATTATTCATTTTCGCAGACAATACTCGACCTGCAGTAGAGAAGCTAGCATAATGTAGATATGCCCTTCTAAATTTCTGACTGTACATTCGCGCTAGCTCTTTCGCGGAGCAAACTAAAATTACTAATGCGAACAGACTCTTCTTGCATTTATCACGTTGTTACGTCTAAATTAACAATAAATGTGGATATTTTAATTTTTTTTTTAAACTGTAACTTTAAATGGACATATGTGTTAACAATATTACTTGTAAAGTATAAATTATTTATATAGAATCCATCCTAACGATTCTAAGTGATTTTACATGATGTTAAGTAAAATCAGTATTCCAAAATTTGGCTTAGGCACTTAATAATTAGTAAAATGCTATTTATAGCCAATTTTAATACCAACGATTTCATAATGTTGTTTACTACTAAATTTTTAATGTTAACGGCTAACACGCCACAAGACATCCGCCATGTCGGTGAAATAGCGAAATACTTATATCCTAGTTAAAATTTATATATCTAAAATTGGTCTAGATCTATAAACAAGATAATAGTCTATTAGTTAATGCAAAATGTATGGGATTCGTATACGGTTTTTACTAAAGGTTTTTACTATATAAATTGGTATCTACCTTATTCACACATTTTAACTGTAAGAATGTTATATCACTGTTTTCAAATTTGGAATTCAGAACAAAAAAAAGATAAAATATTTCACTTCCAAAATCAATTAATTCATTATTAATGACATTGTTTGACGTTTTTATGATTGAGGTTAAATCTCTCTTGTGTATTTGCCACTAAACAATTTGTGTTTGGCTTGTTTTGAGTTTAAAATGTGATATCTAATTATCTAATTTGCAAGTTTTGGGCTATGTCTTGAGTTTATCTTAGAGTTACTACATCATTACAATATTTAAAATTATATAAAGAAATAAACTAATATAATATAATTAATTTATGTATTTAATAGTGATTGTTTTTAATAATTGCAATATTTTTAATTTATAATTTTTGTTTGTATGTCTGACTTAATCCTTCTTGGGGTCTATAGACCCCAAGTGAGACCACAGTATACTGTAATGATGATGTGAAAAAAGAAAAAAGAATAGTCACGTGGTTTAAAAGTATAAGATGTTGGTCATTTATCCATACATTTTGCATATTTCAATTAATGCTCGATTAATCACTAATAGATTGTTATTTCGTCTATGGACCGTGTAGTTTTTGACAGCATAATATGTAAAGTCCTATAAAGAAACTTCTATACCGTATGAAATAGAGGTATTGCTTGTATTTAATGATACTTTGGTCTTTTTTTTCAATATATTTTAAAGCACAAATAATTTTTCAAACTAAAGATTATTTCATCTAATGAAATATCTAGAACATTTGTCGTTTACGTCGTGAATTTGAATTGTTATAAATAAAAAAAAAATGAATTTAATAAAACTATAGCTTTCACATAATATGTTGTCGACAACAAAATTCAAAGACCATCTCTCTATAAATGGGGTCGTTGCAATCCTAAAGGCCGCTTCTAAATGTGTCGGCGTAGTATTGTTTTACTCTGTAAACTGTCCATTGTGGAATCTTCAGGGAGCGTGTTTTGCTTATTGTGTGCTTCCCGAGTTAGTGTCGATTTTAACTGAACAATACCGGCGTCGACAAACATCGAAGCGACCTAAATAGATGTCATATCAAACATACGTTTCGTATAAAAATTACGAATTGTACTTTTTTTTTTTCTATTAAAACATAACAACAAAATGCATTTAATTAGAACGGTTTATAAAAAAGTGAATTCGTAATTAACTTACACAGGTAAACGGAGACCATGATTATAATATTAATATAAATAAACATATATAAATTTAAACCTGACTAGATGTGTTTAGGTTAGTACTCCGTTCGTGAACCCGCATTATTTAATCGTGCTTGGCTGGAAATTGTCTTCATGTTAGGCGACGTGAGGTCGGCCTGTTGGCTAGTTAAACACTTTACTTGCCAAATGCTTTTATTTGGTGTGAGCGAAATAATTCAATTACTTAATATAAATGTGGTAACTAATATTAGGTCTTTGGCTCAAATATTTGTCTATTAAAAGTAAATATGTGTATGATAGTACATAGACAGTGGGTTATGTAAAAGGTGTCAGGAGAAGGCTGTACCGTGTATATTCAATGATGATAGACTTTCTTCAAAGAACATACGTCGGTATATAAGATATCCTATTAATTTTGTAAATGCGAGAGTTTGTTATGATAGATGGATAGATGGGTGTTTGTTTATCTTTCACGCAAAAACTACTAAACGGATTTGGATTAAATTTGTTTTATCAGTAAGTTATATCCTATTTACTTACTTGGCACTAATAGAGCAATTTATATGCGATTTCCCTAACTTAGTACATTTTATATTTATATACTATTTCACGCGCAAAAAATAGATTGATAACAGATGGGTATTAATTATGGTAAGCTTTGAAGAATATTAGGATAAACAGTGTCCTGTATGCAAATTCAGGATATAGTCTATGTGTGTATCAAATTTCATTGAAATCTCTTCAGCCGTTTAGGCGTGATTGTACCACAATCATCCTAGTATCCATCAACTACGCTTGGGTAATATCACTCTAATATCTATATGTTAGTTTCTTTCACACGTTAAGGGTAAAAGATAATCACATATTTCAATATAAATTTATCCCATACCAGTTTATTTTCAGTCTCTATTTATTTTAATGGGATTCTCCATTTCTATATTATAAATTGCATAAACGATATTTAACCCTTCTTTGCATAATGGTGGAAATTTCCATCATAACATTGAATGCCCAAAAATTATATAAAAGAACAAGTTCACTTTAAGTTGATCGTGTCTGGATACCTTTTTAATGTCCATTGCGGAAAAAAAAACATAGCTGTCAAATTTATTTTTTTAACCATTTATCCTTTAATATTGAACATGAATTATATAGACCTTGATTTATTTCACCAATAAAAAAAATCATGCAAAGAAGATTTAATATATCCATTATTTGGCTAATATATAGTTATTAGTATATAGTACTCACCCTCGGTCTATCTTTCTTAAGAAAGACTTCACAATTATTATTCACTGGATTTCTATCTATTATATGTTTTATTTACTATGTACATATAAATTATTTATATGAACTATATGTATTGCTTTTTTTTTTTCAAAAAAAAGAGAAAATTCTTAATAACTTTATTATACTAATACGTGTGCATAACTTAATGATGTAGTTAACTGACAATTTGACATTTCAATCTTCTTTCGTTGAGTAGCTAATCTAAAATATATATAATACTATTTATATATCTCGAGCTTCAAGCCATACGGCTGTATAAGCGAAAAAAATATTTCCAGCATAGAAAATATGCATTCTACATAATAAATACTTAGCTGCATATAAATTTGCTTTAAATTTGGCCTATTGCTGTTAATTTTTTTTTTTCTTGAAAGGTTTTACATGTACGTTTTTATGGTTTGAAGACCTCGATATTAACCCTCCTTATTCATAAAATCATTAAATGCTCAATAAACGTATTTTGCGTATTACAATATTTTGTCTTTTTCTTTCACGCTAACTGGCCAATTTGAAAGAAAGTGACAAAACTGTCTAGTAGTTAAAATAGTTTTGTAAGACATTTTAATTTTATGAATAAGCGAGTTAAACTGATTATATCCAAATATAATATTAATTTATTAATTTTCATTAAAAATTAATTTAGTTCTTTTTAAAACATAATATATTTCTACCTACAAATGGTTACCTGATACGCTTTTCAAGTATTTTAAGTAAGGTATATATCTATTTTATATTTTCGGACCTATAAATTGAAATTATAAGTCTGTATTTATCAATATGGTGCAATATACAAAAAAAAAAAAAAGAATAATAATACATTTCATATAAAAAATAAATTTTATATCAATTGATGTATAAAATACATATATTATTAATATATTTAAATATCTCTAATAGTTTTAGTAAAATAAAATCCAATGACAAATTGGTGTTCTTTGCCTAACTTTTTTTTTTTTTTAAATATATTTATAAGTAAATATTTAGTTACTTTCAATGTATCTATTGTAATGGGAGTTTATATGTTCTTAAAAGACATCCTCTAGTCAACATAAATAGTAACATAGCCACAAAATACTTAAGTTTCATTACACATTGACTGATATTGTAACCAAAACTTGTATATTTAATGCAAATATAAAATTTCGCTCACACCAACTTAACAAGGAAACCTTTAAAATGTGATGACTAGTTGACACTATTTTAATATATCACGTTTCGTGCAAAGGATAAAACATGAAAAAAAAAAAATTATAAAATAAAGTTATGAACTAATAGCGTGTAAGTGTACCACTTTTATTTATTAACGTGGATATTTTAAAATGAATTTGTATGGATGTAGTTAGCGCTTGTAACGGTGGTGTAAGTGATTGTTTATCATTACAATCGAAATAGGAATTGTATCGCTTCGTTAGAAGGGTCGGCTAGTTTTCGTCAATTCTTAATTTTAATTTGCACCATAGCATTGCATAGCCACTCCGTGCTGCGGTGCAAAATGTATGACCATTGTGCATTTGTGTTCTTTAGTAATTTTTTTTTTTACAGCCAAATGTGTAGAATCTTGAATTAAATGATCAGTTCCTCACGTCTGTATAGATTAGTTATTTTTTTTTTAGTCACTTTTTGCATGTCGTTCTCGAGCTCGTTATAATGCCAGAACCGGGATTTTGTTGACCGTTCTCGGGTTGTTTGACAGATGTTTAATCCTTCGTCAATCTGCTTACAGTGAGTTAACAATTTAACAATAAGTTTTATTACCATCGTATAGTGCACAAACACTGTTTCCGGCAGAAGGCGAGGAGTCAACCAAAACGATCTTAGTTCATTCAATCTTCCATCTTGCGTTGTTAGTATATAAGGTTGAATTTTGTTCTACGTTTAATTTTATTAACACCTCTTTGTATATTGTGAATTTATATATTTACATTGCAAACTGACAAAATGCTCGTTTAAAATGAATTAGTTATATAAAACGGCTATAAATTGTTTAATTTTTAGCATTCATTGAATGTAGTGCCTTTTCTATTATAACGTGCATGCATTTTGAAAGCTCTACGCAGTGTTATGTACAAAATTTTTAATGGAATAACTGTTATTATTTAAAAACGTTAATTTTCTTTATAGATTTTAGTTGCTGATATTAAGTTTTCCTTTGTGATGCATTTTACTTTCGGTAGTTCGTTGTTTGTTATATTTAGCGGTTCGCGCTTCACAAAATCTTGGGGTTGGTATATGAATACCTCGTCTCGAAAACGTCATATCTCTAAAAACTTATCTTTTGTTATTAGTAATATGCCTCTGAAGTTTTTAGAATGCTTAAGTAGACAGAAAATGATATCGACTAATAATAAAAACATGTTTTTTAGAGATACAACGTTATTATGCATGAAATATAAGATTAAAAACAAACAAACCAGGTAATTTTAAACGTGTAAAGTTTATTTTTTATTATAATTTTACCATATCGGTTATATTTCTTCATATACGTTTGTATTGTTTGACTCTAAATGAAGTGGAGAGTAAAAACAGTATTACAGTATATAAAAAACTGATCAGGAAATTAGAAAAAACTGCGTTGCGTCATTTTCAGACATTATTATATTAAAATGTACCTGTAATTATAAGAAATGACAAATAACGCTTGGCGTGAGTGTTGCCAAAATTAAAATTAACTACGTAAAAATTCACAATACATTGAAGGCGTTGAAAGCACGCTGTAGGGATTTTATATGGCAATAAATAGTATTTATGCGATCTTAAGAAAATTTTAAATAATAATGGGACCGATTCTAAGGAGCCATTTGTCTAAATTGATCTTTTAATAATATTTTAATTTGATAATTTCGCGAAATTACTGTTTCATAGATCATCAAAAACTAAATTTTAAATGTCAGTTTCGCGCACGCGTCACAGTGAATCATGACTAAGGATCACGAATTGATCCTGAAACTAGTCGAGCTTATTTGATCTAGTTACACGTAAATTTAACTGTTAGTTACAACATTAAAATATAAATTTAAAATAATTTCGACTTAAATCTATTTAGTTCGTAATTGTCGTTGTAGAATAAAAAGTTTGCTACGATATCAAACTGAAATTTAAATATTTAAAGATCAATTTAGATAAATGGCATATCAAAGTCGACGCCATTATTGCCATTCCCATAAAAATAATTTACTATAAAGAATCTCCGCAATAAGGCTAAATTTTATTTTCCTGGTCGAGTTTTAAAAGTCAATCCCAAATAAACCGACCCCATATTCGAATTCTTCCATTTTAATATATAAAAATGGATATTAGTACAATCAATATGCACCTAGCATACGAATTTAGTATATAGTAAAAAATATATTCACTTATTACAAAAAAAAAAAATATATGTAGCACAATAATAATAATGAATTGTTTAGTTTCTTAGTAAATTTTAGTAGTTAGTTATTAATTATATTATTTCTCATATTGTTGATTGAAAGCTGACTCCGTATATAAATCATTATGAAGTTGTCTTCTAATAATTTGAGCGCTATTCACACGGTTCCGGATTCGAGATCCATCAGTGTTCATCAGGGATGGAGGATAAAATAGCTTGCGTACTTTCCATGTGTTTTTTTTTTCATAGAGCCACAGTATATTTCAGAGTATATATTATGTTTAATTTTTTCCCCATTTTTTATAATATCATTTTTTGTATTAGCATCCTTTAAAGGGTGATTTTTACCAACAAACACTTTCAAAAATTTAGTTGATGGGGACTATACTAATTTTATAGGTTATTGTGATGTTAGCATGAAAAGCTAATTTTTTTTTTATCTATGTTTCTTCGGGGAAAGAATGTCCGGTTTCAGTTTTAGATTATTTCCTGAAGAGACCTTTCACATTTATCTACATAAAGCAACGAACAGCCAGAGTTTTTGGGGTTCTGAGTTTTAAACAATTAAGAATTTGCTATACATTTTGATTCCTAAATTGTATAAATTATGTACAGATCTGTATTTAGGAGACAGCGATGTATGTACATTAAAACATTGAAGAAGACTGATATCCCTGATTTTGTTTAAACATGGGTAACATATGATGTGCTTCTGATAGAATAACTAGTTCGAATAGTACAGAGTTTAGGAACCTTATCTCGGAGCTGTGTGAATGGTGTTTTAGTTTTGTAAATTAAATACTTTGATATTTAATTAATATGATGGATTTAAAACACTAACAACTTTGCATGTGTTTATTTTACTAGACTTGAAGTAATATTATATTATATATTTCGTATACTTATAATAGAAATGTGATTGGTTTGAGAAATATGACTATACGGATATATAAAACTCGATTCTCAAATAACATTTCTTTAATGTTTTTTTTTTTTACAAAAATAAAATAAGGATACTAATTTAACAAAATTAGTTAGAATTATATAGAATTGAAACCATATTCTAAATTTGATCTGACTATCCTTTTACAATAATCTGTATTTTTTTTTTGTTTTCTAATTAACATAACAATAAACAAGATAATTCAAATATATTATACATAATTTGGTCTCTGTGTATTTCGAAATTTAATTCTAAAGAACTTTCGGAAATATTTTTTTTTATAAAATATTTTAGTCTTGGCATTTCAGAATGAATGAAAAATTGACATAACCTATTTTATATACAATGAAATTGATAATTTTAAGTATACGAAGTATGTGATTATTATTACTATAGGTTTATTCACAGAACAGAAAAAAAAAACAAGTTGAAATGGCATAACATACAAAAATAAGCAATGTGTCAAATTTATTTTTATTTTTACCACATAATACATTTTATTACATTTAGTGCCGCTCAATTATATAATTTAAATGAATTCTATTTAGAACAATTAAATGTATACCTTATGCGAATAAAATACAGATGAGTTTACTACATCCTATATTGAAGTTTCAAACGCTTATGTTGCCATACCATTTAAATTCATAGAATGAATTTTAAAAACACATACAATTAAAGTTTAAAAATCACAAATGTGTCAGAATACACGCATTGTATTTTTTATCTGTTCTGTGAACTTCTTGTTACCTTCACTTTTTCCAGTGTTGCCATATATAGTAACTATTTACCTCAAAATCTTCGTCTTGCAAACGCTTATCTGATTATTTTCGATCCGCGCAAATTAATCGACATAAGATTATTGTAGAAACAATTCTATGTAAAATATACGTGTATATTTTTTAAATCAATTTCACAAGTTACTGTTGATGAAATAATTTTGCTTGTTAGCCGTTATATGAACTTATATAGAACAATCGTTATATCGAAGCGCGACGCTGCAATAGTTACTTACAATTGGTATTTAAATTGCATTATATTACAGAATAATGCAGAACTAACTTGACTTTAGATTTTACTTTCTAATAATCCCGAATTAAATGAAACTAAATAGAGTGAAATGGAAGTGACATTTAAAACCAATTTGTATAAGCATATAGAGCCTATAGCAGGGGTGGCCAACTTGACTAGACCCAAGAGACCCAAGATGTTTACTGACGAAACCCTGTGCCATCTACCAATTACATACATCTTGAAGTCACAAATGCAACAACATAGTTCAGTACACATTTATGTAGTATTGTAATATTTCTTATTTTACTAAGAGGGAAAATATAAATCTGAAAATTATTCTTAGTAACTACTTAATTATATTAGTGTGAGCATTGCGTCTGAGCATCTTCCGCTAGATTAGCAAAATATTATATTTTTTGCTTTGCCACTATCGACTGGACTAATAGTCGTGACCGATCGGTCGGTTGTCGATCGTTTGGCCACCCTTGGCCTTTATGTAATGGGCAACACCTGTGTATGGTGCTTTCAGCGTATTGACTCCGTTTCCTTGATATTGTATTGTCATTTAAAACTGGTATATTTATTACTTTCATTATAAATGTTATTTTTTTTTTTATTGTAAAAAGGTAATTTTTATAATATTTTTATTTTCTCATGTTTTAAATAATTAGGATCACACTTCTATTTCTCTCTGTACATTTTATTGGTTGGGGATTATTGTTTCTCATAGTAGCGTCGCGCCTTCGATGTACTTAGCCGATTGTTAATTATATGTATTATTTATTTATTTAGTTGACACAGAAATTTTTATTTACCATTTATTTATATAAGAAATTAAGAGACCATTATGATTAATGAATTTTCAAGGCTATGAATTAAAATGCTTGCTTATAGTTAACCCTAAATGATAATAGGGTATGTTCTTATTAATAAGTAATTGGAAATGTTTCAAAAAGTGCCACAACTAGCTTCTTTTAAATTAGATTTTGCGATTGGGGCATTGATTTTTATATTTTTTCAATACGAAATAACAAAACTCGTTTCACATAATGTGAAGGAATACAAATTGTTTATCAAGATTTCTTAGGTTTTGATATTGATGTATATTTTTTGATAATTGTAACTGCGATTGTTTCAAAACAATTGTTCAATATTCTAATGAAAAATTATAATATTGTCCTATGAAAATTTTAATTGGCCAATTATATGACGAAGTATTCAAAATGCATTTCTGAAAAAAAAAAACAGCGTTGCAACTCTCAAAGTTTTGTAGTTTTTCGTTATTATTATTTAACATTATTTTAAAATAATGTGGTCAAGTATAAACATAAAATATAGATTTTGTGGAATGTAAAACAAAAAGTCTTTGACTTGCTTTTATTATTGTATGTAATTAATGATATAAACTGTATAAACTAATAGTTAATACAATTATACTTTTGCATATGAATATTTATTTCTTTTATATTTATATATAGTACAGTCTCTCATATTGACTACGTGGTCTTAAAATAATGCCATACATGTTAACGAAAAACTATAAGACTTGACCGAAATTAACGTATTTTTTATTGTTATAAACTTACATTGTACAAATTTAAATTTGACTTAAAATAACAGTAATACTGTACATAAATTTGTCATTCTATCAATGAGATGTGTTCTAAAATGTTGGCCTACGACAAACAAGGGTATACTTAAAGTATATCAGCTTTAATGTTTGATGGCTGTGACTTATGGGAGTTAATATAGATTTAGATAGGGGGTTTTCGAAGTGGGCATACCTCCCATGGGAGTTGCAGAGACTTAAAATGGGAGCGCGCTACATCTATGTGGTAATGCGCATGGGCAAAATATTAAAACTTAATATTGGTTTGAATCCTTACAATGGAGTCTGACTCACATGATTTTGGAAACCCCCGAATTAGAGAAAAACAATACCCCAGTCGCGAAATACCTGCTGGCTCAGTAATTGTGCTCTTTGTTTTAGCTCAATATATTGTTCCTTCCGTCCACTCAATATTGGAATTTTCATAGACTAAGCTTCCTTTCCACATATCTGTTTCTCCAAACTTTATACTGTGCTCTATCATCCAACGTTGAACATTAATTTGAACGTTTAATTTTTAAGTTTAATCAATAAGTGTAATCAAATGCTAAATAATTATAACTTGATTTCTGAATTTCTATATGACCAACGCTTATAACAGCATATCTTTATAAGAATATTGTGTGATATAACCTAATTATAATTGTAATGAAATGTCCTTTAATTAGTCCTTAATACGTGAAAATTTTCTATAATACCAAAACTATTGAGTACTTAATTTAAAAGCCAATATAGTGAACGCTTACGGTGGCATATACATATTAAATGTAAGTGAACGATTCTAAAATTTCCTAAAAGTTATCAGTAATTCGTCCTTTAAACCTCTATAGGCCGGTTATCGCGTTGTCTAGACCTAAATTGTATGGAATATAAAAGGTGCTAAAGTAACAAAATTTGTAAAAATTTAAAGCCCAAACTGATAAATAGATCTAGACAGCGGATTTCACCAAAATGGCTATATGCTATATAAACTTATTCATTGCTGTAGACAACAGTTTGTACCTTTTTTCAATGCATGGATAATAAAAAATTATGGGCTGATATATGAGTTTACATAGCATAAAACCTTTGTAGGTCTTATGTGCATACATATTATATATATATATATCCTAAGAGAACTTACGAACGCTAGACTTTGTAGTTAGTCAAATGCATGAGTAATTTTTATATAGCGATTGTTGATTATTTTTGTTTTTTTTTTTTTTTTTTCTTATTAACTTAGTGAATGTTTTAGATACTTGAGATTTTAGTGAATTTAGACCACAATGTCCACAATATATTTTCTTACATGGAGCCTAGAGGGCTTAGATCATATTGAAGTCGACACAGTGGGTGGTGAAGGATATCTGTTACTGCATAATAGTACACCAATATATCCACTTGACGTTCTATTTTGCTCCTGAAATCCTGAATGTACAAATGTGTGACACGCTGTGCTGCTAGTGTATCGGATAGAGATATTTTTGTGTTAGGACTCGTTTAGTGGTGTAACGCCGTTAGTAAGACTGGTATATGGTTCTCTTATTATTTTAAAGTTCGTTATAATTTACTTCACACGAAGCGGTTATTGTTTTTTTACAGCGTCTCTGATGGTACGGAACGCACGTGTTCCATATAATTTTGTATTAGTTATATATTCCTTAACACGTAAGCTTTTTTTTTTCAGTGTGTCTCGGAAATGTATCTGAGTGTTAATTTAATTGAATGAGGATCAATCTTAGAGCTTTATCGAATTTGATAATAATTTACGGATGAATATTTATAATGAGACAAACTTAATTGAACACGATAACAGACGTGTTAGATAAATATTCATAACTCACTGTTTAGATAGTTATTCCTGCAAGATTGTGTATCGTAGTTGGTTTTTTATCTATTTTAAACGATGCTAGTTGTGTAGATTGGATAATCGATACGAGCCTTTGCCATTAGGTGAAGTTAGATTAGGTGAATACGGTCCTAATGCTTATAGTACGAATCTAATAGTTACATGTTTTAATAACCGTGCATGGTTTAAAAGAATCCTCGTTTAGAACAAAATTGTAACTAACTAGTGTAATGTTGTATATGTCAGTCCTTTCAATTAGGGTTACGCGGTGGCGGTTAGATACGGGCGGCGTGTTGTTAGTTGTGTCGACGTCTTATGAGCCGTTAGTCGATTCGCCCCACGTTGGGCGCCAATAGTATTTGCATCGTGTGCACAAATACTCTATTTCTAAATAAAGTTTTAATCACTGTTTTTTGATACTAAGGAGGTAGTTGGGTGAGAGATGTAATGGAATGTTTATATATTAGTTGCATAAACGTTAGTATTTATAGTGGTATGAGTGTGGACAATAACGGTGGTTAGTCCTGTTCTGTGGTAATCTAATGTGATACGTTCGAGCCAGTCGCCCGGCGCGGGCGTTCAAGGTCGACCACCACAGTTTTTAATCTTACTCTATTAGATTCTTAAGTTTAACATTGCTTCTACGAGTTTTTACCGTAACACTAGGCGGTTTTCTTTCCTTTTTTTTTTTAATTGGGTATATAGCGGATTTAATGTATTTTGAGCCATGATTTAGTGTGCATAGTGTACTAATATTTTTGCTACTCGCCCGTTCGCTCTGTCCAATATAGGAATGGCATCATGAATTTTATATGTGAGGACCAAATCTGGTTTTTTTTTTGTATTTTATTGTGCGTTGAAAATGTAATGGAAATACAGGATTTATTTTGCCAGTTCCTCTTAAATGTAAGTGAGAATTTCTAAAATATTTTTATAGTTGTAAGTGTTGGTAAATTAATTTTTTTACATTAGGTACTGTGTAAGTGTGTACACAAGTATTAAACTCAGCTCGCTGAGTACACGGGAATTATATATTTTGTTTTCTCATTTATTTTGTCTATTGTAATTACCTACATAGTACGGAATTGATGCGCCACTCAGTGGTTTTGTTTAAGGGGCATACGTAATAACGAATAGTTAGTTTTAATTGTGGTGCTAAACTACACACTATATGTCGACACCAATAATGTATTTTGTATGTTTATCTTTAAGTTGTAAGTGATATTTAAGTGACAGTAATTACAATTCTGTTATACAATGTAACTTGGCAAATGTATTGGGATATATAAAATATAAAATGATTTATCTTTTGGTTTCGGGTAATGTTATGTAATGAAATCTCACTACATTTAGTCCACATGTTGTTGTCAGTGACGTTCTCCATGTTTGTACATGTAATGTACTATTTTCACATGTCAATGCACGTTTGCCATAGCTATAAATATACAAGGTTAACAGATTTTAATTAAACACTGTTTTAAATCGTGTAAGCTCAGATATTGTAAACTTGTTTTCGTTGTTAATGTGGATTCAAATTGAAAATTTATCCAATGTATCCAATACAATAAAGGTGTAGCTTGTTGTTTTACTCCTAGCATTTTCATGTCTAATATACAGCGACACTGCCACTAAAATGCCCATTAATTAACTTATATTTAATGCAACATTCTGTTTTTTTATTAGCATTGTTTCTTGTTATAATTATTTGTTGTTTTTAGCAAAGCTTCGTAGGCGCAAACAACTGTTTAAAATTATTGATTGCAATGAAAAAAATTCGCTAGTCCTATCTCATGTATAACTTTGGATCTGTCCGTTTAAATGAAATATTTAGATGTTTTAAGATACTTAATGAATAATACAAATTATACTGTCTGTGGTGAATATCGAATTTTATGAGCTTATTAAAACTTAATTCCGTGGTATCGGTATTGCGAAAATAATATAAACGTGGTGTGCATATTGTTTGATGTTGCACATCTCTATTTTCTAGTCTAAGCTCTATGTAGATGTCGCTACTTGCAATACGGTTCAAATGGTTATAGTATAAAATACTTTGAAACCCCTACAATTATGTAAAATTTCTTTCTAAACATATCAACGTGACTATCATTTGTGTGTTGCAAGGTGAGTCAAAATTCTTTAATATAGATAGTCATGGGATGACAACGATTTACTAATAATTATCATAATATAATCTAGAAAAATATTACATAATGAAAGGGTGATGTAATCAAACGATGTCATTATCTTTAATTATATCCAAAGACGTTAATATTCTACTCTGCTAATCAATATTTAATATTTGTATTTTTATAAACGCGAATACTGTTTTTTATATATACGCAGCAACTGTATTTTATCGGATTGGTGGAGTGGAAAAGAGATGTGCAATATCGATGTAAGCGGGTACAACACTGAATAAAAGTTTCAAAAAAAAAATGTTTGTTAACAAAGCTAAATAGTATTTCATAAGATGCCAAGTTAGCTGTCGTATTGGACCAAGGAATAATGTATAATTATAAGTGTAGCTCACTTCACTTGCTGATGGTACCTATAGCATTTTACATAGAGATAATTGGGTGTTTGACTGTTTCTAAATTTTAAAATTATTCAATTCCAACCACGATTTATAAATGACATTCAATCAACAAGTGTCACAGGTCCTGAGAGCTTATCCATTGATCTACTTTAGCTGTTGAAGTGTTTTGTCTCTTTCTTTTGTGCTAATTTCTCAATTTGCAAGACGGTGATAAAACACTAATAGATTTGTAGGTTTTAATTTTTATGAGGGTAGTCTAATCCTATCGCACAAATGCCAATAATGAACTGTGACGTCATTGCATTATCTGCTTAGCAAAATCATGTCACGTATTGTATTAAAAGATGGAACCGTCAAATACCCAATTAAAATATAATAATTAATATTTTGACATGTCTTCGGTCTCTTCATGTTAGATCCATGTATACAAGTATCTTTGTGATTGATGTTTAATAGTATAACACAGAGTGAGTGACAGCCATCGTGACAGACTGATTTTAGTGCAGGTTTATTAACTATTGGGTTGAGATCACGTGGTCACAGTACAAGTACTATCTGCTCTGTGCAGTATTACAGTGAGGGTAGTTGTGTGCGGATATTAATTTATAAAGAGTTTAATTTGCAGTCTATCCAGATGATTCTAAATTAAACAGTCTTTTGAGAACGTTTGTAATTTTTTCACAACACAATTATTACTGTAAAAATATTTGTTCAGTTTTCTTTTTTTTTTACAATTTAATCTGCAAATTGATAAATAAACCAATTAACTCATATAGTACATTTAGTAATTATATTTGACATTAATGACTAATAAATTGCATATACTTTTCAATAACTCGAATAAGTGTTTATTTTATTTATTTAAATTCTTTTATACATAAATTTTTGTCTCTCTCATTAGTGTGTGCTGACAATGTAATTCTTCCAGGACTACTTATATAAAGTTTGGTTTGTATAAAATTCTATGGACACAAATATAGTGCTGAAAATGTACCATTTATATAAATTACCGGTAATATTACTAAAGTGCCACAAATGTTAAACTTTATAGTCCTCTACTGTAGTGATGGAAATGTTAATATTACACTACTGTGTTGCTATTTATATTATAGCCAATGGGTGTAATTTAGTGCTGGAGAAGTAAAATTTTAAGTGATTATTACTATAGTGTCGTTAATGTCAAATAGTGACACTACTGTAGTGTTACTAATGTACATTAGTGACACCACTGTAATTACTAACGGTACTAACACAAAGTGGGATTTCATGAAATATTCGCATACAACTACTTCAACTAGATAATAATGTAGCAAATACAATATCCATTATTAGGCGTATTGGTGTTATGATTCTAGTTCACAATTTAAAAAAAAAAATAGTGTACGCCAACTGTCTTGTTCAAATGTTGTGAAATATAAATGTTAAATGTTGTCCTCCTATCAGACCGTATAGGGTATATTGTTTATCTGAACATTCAGTAGTTATGCTAGATGCAGTCTTGATTTTTTCTTACTAATATTTTGTTACTGTTTTGGCACTGTATTAATTACCTTCTGACAAAAAATATATAATGAATAAAATGTTTTTGAAGTTTTATTATTACCTAACCGGCTTAGTTAATGTTTCCTACATAGATGGTAGTCGTGTTGGTCCCGCTACAGAATGGGCCACCTCTTCCTTTGCCGTGGGTGTCGTAAGAGGGCACTGAGGGAGTTTACGGTGGAAGGATGGGCAGCTACGTCCTTCTTAAAATATCGTCAAAAGCCAAACTGCGGTTGCCAACCCGCGTGCCTAGCGTGGCAACTACTGACAAAACTCCCCTTATGGTAGAGGCTATACCAGAAGGAGACTTTGTACAAAAGTCGATTGATTGGGTACCTCTGTCCCATTCGTGTTTCAACCGTGAAGCAGTTGTGTTTGCATGACTGTGTTTTGGTTTGAAAGGTGGGATATGGCGTGAATTTATTGGGTACAGAGGAATAACAACTGAGTCCTCAGGAATGGCAACGCATGGGGGGGTATCATGAGCGAAACAGTATACTCTGTTATGTCCATGGTACTGCTCATGTCTATAGGCGACGGTTACCACTTTCCATCAGGTGGACTGTCAGCTTGTTTGTTATTCTAAGTTGTATATAAAAAAAAAACTAAATCCTTTCAGATAAAGAGTTTTCCAAATCAGTTTAGAACTAGAAGATTTATGAGGTAATAAACATAAAAAATACAACTGAAATGAATTTTTTGTAATCGGTTGAAAACTTAATAATTTGAAAGAATCATTATGACATAAGACATGAGCTGTATGGACCCTTTAAAATAAAAACTAACTAAAATAAAACAATAATTTATTAATAACATATCTACATACTATGTACAATAACTTCACATATTCTTAATTATATCTCATGATTACTTTTCCCAATTTTCCTTTAGGAACATCAATTGATTCTAATGTTTCCGTTATAATTCCTGTAGCAACGGTTACATTGTTTTCTCTGATGGTGAAAGGCTGGCCTTGTGTCATAACCATACCTTCGAGTAAGGTAAGGTATACCTCGCCGTGGTCACCAGGCATCATCATGTGCATTGATGGGTCTGAAAGTATTTTTTTTATATAATTGTTTTTTTTTATACATATATTCTATATGTACAAATACTACTAGTACTAATTCTTGTATGTTGGAAGGAACTGGCTTACAAGACATATATTACCCTAATTTATGTTAAGAACCTCCTTGGTTCAATGGCAGGCGATATGCATTCTAGCAGCGCTTGTCAATGTAAAATAAAGAAAAATAATATTTGAATAAATATGACAGATTACCCTTTTTGTCTTATATACTATGAACATTGACTGAACTTTCTAACTGACTAATATTAACTAGTGTAGGTAACCAAAATCCTAGTCCTGGTTTTCCTTAACATTGATCCTGATCCCAGCGTTGCTTAATACTGGTGAGTGTTACTACCAATTTCCTATATTAGGTTATGGGCTAATACCAAACTTGAAAATGGATGTGTCGAAATTTCAAATTAATAAACTAGAAGGTGAAAATTGGATACATTGGAAGTATCGCATGTCAGCACTATTAAGGGGAATAGACGGTTTAACGGATGTAATAAATGGCTCAATTAAAAAACCGGAAATGCCAGATAGTAGTGCTGGGGATTCAGCAGCTATGGCTAAGTACGAAGAGGACTTACGAAGCTACACTAAGTTGGATAGTATAGCTGTACTTGTAATAACAAATAATATTTCTGATAATATCCTGGATAAAATTCTAAGGTTAACGACCGCAAAGGAAATATGGGATGAATTACATCGCCTGTACGAAGGTGTATGTGAGGACCGCCTGTATGATTTGTGTTTAGAATTTTTCAGATATAAGAAAAATCCTGCTGATGACATAGCTTCACACATCTCGAAGTTGAAAAATCTGTGGTATAAGCTCAAGCAAGAATTAATGAAAGAAGAGGAAGGTAAGGATTTACCTGAAGTTCTATTAATTTGTAAAATCTTGGATACTTTACCTGAAACATATTTTTCATTCAAGTCAAGTTGGCTGTTAATGTCTAAGAAGGATAGGAATATAGAGAATATCACAAGTCAGCTGTGTGCGCATGAAAAGGCACTCGGTAACAATGTAGACAGTGAATCTAGTTGTGAGGCCTTTGCTGTCAAAGGAATCAAGAAGAAACCTAGTAAGTGTGAAGACAAAGGTAGTAATAACAAGGACAGTAGCAAAAAGTTTAAATGCTTTGGTTGCAAAGAGGTTGGTCACCTTAAGAAAGACTGTCCTAAGAAAGTAGTTTCTCGAAAAGATTGCAGTAGTAAGGGAATTAACATGATGTTACTGACTGTGAATTCGGCTGAAAGTAGTATTGTAGATCGTGACCATTGGAATGTGGATAATGGGGCTACGAATCATGTTACAATGCGGAATGATATCTTTCAAGATTTCGAATACTTCAGTGAAGGTCACACTGTAACTACGGTGGACAAAAATGTGATCAAGGCAGTAGGCAAAGGATCAGTTTGTATTGAGGCCGATGTTAATGGACATACTGTGAGATCGACTTTGAGAGATGTTTGGTATGTTCCTCAGATAAGTAGAAATCTGTTTTCTGTATTATCGACGCAAGATAGGAATCCAGGTAGCGTGTTTGAATCACGGGTCACTACTTGTACTATGAAAATAGGAGGAATGATTACTGTGACAGGAAATAGGGAGAGGTATGGAGGATTATACAAGCTGAATTGTAGAGTCGTACCGCCTATTAATATGTCAGTAAATTTGGTACAGAAAGTTGATATATTGCAACTTTATCACGAACGTTTTGGTCATCAAAATAAAAGACATATAAGAAGTCTGATAGATAGAGAGTTGGGAATAAAAACAAAAGATAGTGAAGAATTATGCGAAAGTTGTATCTTTGGAAAATCTCACAGACAAAAGTTTGGTGTACGAGATAAAGCTACGAAACCTGGAGAACGCATACATTCGGATGTTTGTGGGCCCTTTCCATCTAGTTATTCCAAATTACGATATTTTGTACTTTTCAAAGACGAATATACACGTCATCGTTTTGTGTATTTTCTTCGGAATAAGTCGGAAGTACACGAGAAATTGAAACAGTTTCTAGTTGAAGCTAAAGTAGCTGGTCATGTTGTTAAGGAACTATTGAGTGACAATGGTGGTGAATTCGACAATGCACAAGTACGGAAAATATTGGTGGAAAATGGAATAAAGCAAAGACTGACGATGCCGTATACACCGGAACAAAACGGGAATAGCGAAAGAGATAACAGAACGATCGTGGAATGTGCTAGAGCTATGATGCATGCACATGAAAGGTTACCTGAAACTTTGTGGGCTGAATTGGTGAATACTGCTGTATATATTTTGAACAGGACAGGGCCAACGTCAGTGGAACACAAGTCACCTTCAGAACTTTGGACTGGTATAAAGCCAAGGATTAAACACATGAGGATCATTGGGTCATCATGTTATGCTCACGTGCCTAAACAGACTCGAAAAAAATTACATAAGAAAGCTATGAAATGTATTCTAATAGGGTATGATAATGATGATGGATATCGTCTCTGGAATGGTTCTACTGGTTTAGTAAGGTCAAGAGATGTGACATTTGATGATATGTCTCTGCTTAGAGGTGAATCACTGAAGGTGTCTGAACCCATGCAAGCAGAATTTCCTAGCAATGTAATTGAGTTGCAACCTTTGGCATTACAAGAGATAACTCAACAGAGGAATGATGAAAAATTATCTCATGTAGAATCTTCTGATGCTCAGAATATTGTAATTGATAATGATGAAGTTGAAGGTCTTGTAAACAATGATGAGTTTATTGATAGAGAAGACACTTCTGTTATTAATGAAGATATATTTGATGATGCAAGAAGTAATACGCTAGAACAAACTATTGAATGTGGGGGGGTATTAGAAGGAAATGACGAAGCCGAGCTTCACGAAACTATGGATGAACATGAGATTATAGAGGAAAGTAGTCGTATTCTTAGAGATAGGTCATCGCTTCATCTACCACAGAAATTCAATGATTTTGTTCTATATAATATAAATGGAGAGAGCACTGGTAATCAACTGGAACCTAATAGCTACAAGGAAGCTGTGAGAAGTGCTGAAAGTAAACTTTGGAGAAAGGCAATGGATAAGGAAATTAATTCTCTGAAGGAAAATAAAACTTGGGTGTTGGTAGATCTCCCGAAAGGTCGGAAAGTCATACCCTGCAAGTGGGTTTTCAAGGTCAAATTAAATGCTGACGGGAATGTCGACAAATACAAGGCTAGGCTTGTTATTAAGGGATATAGTCAGAAGAAAGGCGTGGACTATTATCAAACATTCAGTCCTGTAGCAAGAATGGCGACCATTAGAAGTGTATTAGCTGTTGCCGCTAGTGAACAGATGCATATGGCGCAATTTGATGTATCCACTGCATTTCTGTATGGCGATCTTGATGAAGAAATCTACATGCGACAGCCGGAAGGTTATGAAGATAACTCTGGTAAAGTTTGTTTACTGAAGAAAAGTCTTTATGGTTTGAAGCAGGCACCTCGGTGCTGGAACAAGCGTATATTAGATTTTTTCAAGGAAATCGGTTTGAAAGTATCTGATGCTGATCCATGCCTTTTCACAAGGAAGGAGTCTAGCGAGAAGCTCATTGTGGCTCTTTATGTGGATGTTGGTTTGGTAGCTGCGTCTAATCAGAAACTGATCGAAAATTTCCTAAAAGATTTAATGGGAAAATTTAAAATCACAACGAAGTCTGTATCCTACTTTCTCGGTATAGAGATAATAACCAGAGAAGACGGCATAAAAATTCATCAGAAGTGTTATGTGAACAAAGTTCTTCGACGGTTTGGGATGGACAGCTGCAGACCGGTGCATACACCAATTGTTAGAGACATGTCTCAAAACCGGGATAAGGTCGACATGAGTAATATGTTGTTGAATTATAGACATATTGTTGGAGCCTTAGCATATCTCATGGTTGGAACGAGACCTGACATTGCATTTGCTGTTAGTGTCGTCTCAAGAAATTTGGAAAATCCAACTGAAGACGATTGTGTAAAGCTGAAACGGATTCTGCGTTATTTACAACATACGCAAGATATGGGTATTTTGTATCAAAAGGACTATAAAAAGGGCATCATAGAGTGTTATAGTGATGCTGACCATGGAGGAGACGTTGGTACTGGAAGGTCAACTTCTGGAGTACTGTGCATGTTTGCTGGTGGTGCTGTATCTTGGATGAGTCAAAGACAAGCAAGTGTTGCAATTTCAACCACTGAAGCAGAAATAGTTGCAGCCAGTGAAGCAGCTCGAGAATGCATTTGGCTAACTAGGATACTAAGCGAACTTACTGAAATACAGTATCCTCCTGTATTACAAGTGGACAATGAAGCCGCGGTGAGACTAGCGGAAAATCCTGAGTTTCACAAGAGAACAAAACATATTCTCATCAGGCACTTCTTTGTTCGAGAACTTGTGACAAAAGGTGATCTCATGGTTCAGAAAATTAGCAGTGAGTGGCAGCTTGCGGATATTTTTACCAAAGCTTTACCAAAGCCAAGGTTAGAGAAGATTAGTAAGCTGCTAGGATTACACATCGAGAGAAGATGTTAAGAACCTCCTTGGTTCAATGGCAGGCGATATGCATTCTAGCAGCGCTTGTCAATGTAAAATAAAGAAAAATAATATTTGAATAAATATGACAGATTACCCTTTTTGTCTTATATACTATGAACATTGACTGAACTTTCTAACTGACTAATATTAACTAGTGTAGGTAACCAAAATCCTAGTCCTGGTTTTCCTTAACATTGATCCTGATCCCAGCGTTGCTTAATACTGGTGAGTGTTACTACCAATTTCCTATATTAATTTATAAGTCAGGATAATATGTATTAGGGCAACCCTGTATATGTAGCACGTTACACGAAGCGAAGGGTTTATGCGCCGCGGCACGGTCAATTCACTATATATAACTATGGTTTGCATATCTTTTGGTTCACACAAGATTGTTTTGATTTGATATATATATATATATATATATATATATATATATATATATATATATATATATATATATATAGCCAACATCTTTTACAAGAGAACAGATGGCGCTGCTGTAATCAAATATAGAATTAGAATAAAGAATAATAAATTATATTATATACCTAAATCTATTCTGCAAGCAATATTCCACGTTCCACTGAACATTTGTTGGGAATACTTTGAAAACACTGGTTTTTTGCGTCCTCCCTCGTTCCTGGTCAGGAAATAAATATTGGCTTTGTAATGGTTGCTCAGCGTGAAACTTTTGGCAGCGCACAGTAGCATACCGGTCTCCACTGCTTTTATTTTCATCCCTCTTAATAATACACCTACATTGTCGCCCGCTACTGCCTGGAAAAATAAGTTATTCGAAATTCTTTAGGTGATCATATTTAATTAGATTTATGTACAGAAATAAATAGGTCGTGTGGTCCCGACATAGAATAGGCCACCCCTTCCTTTCCCGTGGGTGTCGTAAGAGGCGACTGAGGAGAGAGAGGGATGAGCAGCAGCGTCCCTTTTAAAACAACTCTTAAAACTTGACTACAGTTGTCAATCCACTTGCCAAGGATGGTAACTACTAGCAAAACTTCCTAACTTCCTATATATATATATATATATATATATATATATATATATATATATATATATATATATATAGTGTATATATTTGGATATATGTGTTTATTTAAGTACGTGTATATGATTATGCTGTCACAGATATTTATTATTTTTACAGATCTATTTTTTTAACGCGCCACCTACCTATTTATTCTTTTTACTATTTTTACTTTCTACCCAAAGGTAGTCTGGAAGAGATTGCTTAGCAATAAGACCGTCTTTTGTACTACACTATACTTATTGGAAATTGTTCAACAAATTTGTTAAACAAAAACAAAAAACCTGTTATGTTGGTGCAATAAAGTGTTAAATAAAATAAAATAAATAACATAAATATGCTTAGAAATTACCTCGGGTACGCTCTTTTTAAATATCTGTATATCAGACAGTGTTGTTTTAATATTGTAACCAAATCCCATCAAATCTGATTCGTCATTTTTCTTCATTATACCCCGTTTTATCGTGCCAACGACAACAGTGCCCCTTCCTGGCACTGTAAACGCATTGTCTATGGGCATAAGGAATGGCGACTGTAGATCTCTCACTATCGGTGGTATATATTTGTCCATAGTGTCTAAAAGTTTTCTTATAGAAGGAACACCTGCAAAATAATTATTTATTATTCTATAGAATTTTTAAAGTCAGTTGAGTACTTTTTTAGTTTGTCCATTACAAACAAACAAACAAACAAACAAACACAAAATAAAATGTTTCCTCTTTAAAACATTAGTATAGTTTACTGAAAGAAGAAAACAATGCATATAAAAAATAAATATGCTTACGATTATAATATCTTATGGGGCAGTCAGAGGTATTCGTCAACACTTGCCTTTATGAATGTAACACTAGATATTGTCCACATTGTGTCGAACCGATTAGAATGCAACATGGCAGGCACTCGGAATAGTTTAGTTTTAATAAATAACAATAGGAACTAACAGTGATATACCTCGTCAGGTACGGTTCCACATGGTTCTCTTTGGAAACCATCGCGATTAATTCTTTATGAATTTGTAATATTGAGCCTGAGCTATTTTCAATCTCACCTGTCAATCCTATCTATCTATCATTCCATCTCCTGTTGCACCATAAAAAATAAGTTAAGTATTACCTAATTCCGATTCGTCTCCATTTAACGCCTTCAGTGCAGAGCCGTATACCATAGGGACACTGCTTCCATCATAACCAAAGTCAGACAGTAATTCCCTCATTTCAATCTCCACTAGTTCTAGAAGCTGAAATAATATCAAGTAATAATTTAATATTAACAAACCAATAGAATAGTAAATTATTTCTTTGATTGAAACATAAGGTTCAATCTTGAGATTATAAAAAATTATCCATGTACATATATTTTGTATAACAGTGGGAGAATTTGTACAATTTTCTGCTTAGGTCATAGGTCACCTCTCCCTTTTCCGTGTGTATAGTAAAAGGCAAATAAAAAAACTTAATAATCGAGAAATGTAAAGCTGCATCCTTCTTAAAACACCCTCAAAACCTATACTAGTATAGTATTATATTATCTGTTACCTAACTGTGGTTATTTACCTGCCTGCCAATCATGGCAACTACTGGCAAAGCCTCCCAATCTGAGGAGGCCTATGTTCAACAGGTAATATAATAATGATCTGCTTGATTATGTTTGTTCCAATCATGTTTCTGCCATAAATTGTGTACTTGCATAGTCATATTTCAGTTGAAGGGTAAGATATATCAGTAACATTACTAGATATGTATGGACATTATAAAGTACAGAGGCAAGACACCACAGTCCTGTGGGGAAAGAGATTGTTAGCAATGGAGTTTGACAGCCCCATTGCTAGCAATATTAATATTAGGTCGACCTCCACATGGTTTCCCCTGGAAACAATCATGAACAATTCTTGTTGATTTCGTCATGATGGGCCAACTGACCTGCTTCATCCTCACCTATTATCCTTCACTGGTGCCCCACCAGTGTATACCGATAGCGCAGGCGGGATTACCATTCCATTATCACCCATTAAAAAAAGACACCACAGTCCTTAAGAATAACAACCCATGAAGGGTACCATTGGTATTATAATGTGTGATGTACAAATCTAGAAGGGACAGTTATCACTTTCTACCAGGTAAACCATCAATTTGTTTATCATTTTAAGTATCGGAAACAAGTTTAAATAAATAGTAATTAATATTTACCTCATCATCAACTAAATCTGCCTTGTTAACATACACCAAAATGTATTGTATTCCAACTTGTTTCGCCAGTAGTAAGTGCTCTCTCGTTTGAGGCATGGGCCCATCGTTGGCCGCTACAACTAATATTGCTGCGTCCATCTGCGATGCACCGGATATCATGTTGCGTACGTAGTCGGCGTGACCGGGACAGTCCGTGTGTGCGTAATGCCGCAATTTCGTGTTATAGCCAACGTGCGCGGCATTTATAGTTATACCTGCAAGAAATGTTATATGAAAATATTTTATTTATTTATTTATTTCTTATTGCATTCCATAATATAATTAGTAGATAACATTTTAATTATGGACCCTGTTGGGCACAGCAAGTAGGAGTGAGGAGGACAACACTTTTTTCACTTTAGAAATAGTCTAAGGATCTGTTACAATATTATCCAATCATTGAAATTGTATCACTATAGGTACATATTTTCTTATTATTATTATTATTCATGATTTAAGTGTTGGTGTGTATCTATTCATATCGTAATTGTTATTGGTATTATCTAGTTATTTAATATATTCTCTAGTTTATAATTATTTATATTTATATTGTAAAATTAATTAATAAATAGTTTAATAATAAAATTTCTAGTTCGGATTTAAGAGCACTTATCAGTAAGACCCATATATTACATACAAGTGAAAATGTGCTCAATCCCATTCTCTTAAATTATTATTTATAATTTTTTAACATAACAGTTGCATATTTCTTATAGATGATAATGATATAGTAACCCCACCCACGCTATCAATATACACCGGTGGGGTATTATTACTAGTACCACATTCGAATATTCTGTCACTTCTCTATGGTTGAGTATGAGAGAATGCTGTTTATATTAAGTCCACCATGTACACATACATGTACTAATGAATAAATAAATCATTCCTATTAATACAAAAAATACTTGAAACTAAAGATCTGATTAATAATTTCTATCTCATATAGGTATGATTAACATAGTTTACAGGGGAAAGGGATTGTTAATAATGGGCCCAACAGCCCCATTGTTAGGAATATACCCTCTGATCCCCATGCAGTTCCCCTAGAAATCATCATGGTTATTTCTTCTAATAAATGTTGAATTCATTACACTGAATTATAGTGTACCAAATTAAATATTTATCCTGCCTACATGTTTTTAGCCAGGACTCAAATTATTGCAGTCACTCAGAAGGCTGATAGTGTGCTGCATTTCAATTTGAAGCGTGAAATGTGTTAGTTAAAAGTCTTAGGGTGATGATTCAAGAAGTTTGTATCATAAAAGAGCAATGTACAAGTGATGCCTCTATTATTGCAAGCGTTTATGGGCTGCGGTTTGGACTGTTGCGCATGCATTTATATGAAGTTAGATAATAGTTATAAGTGTTAGTACCTATTATAAAATCTACCTCTAGCTTTTTCTTCTGGTGCTTTATCGATTTCGTCGTACGAAGTAAACTGAGCAAGACCATCATTAGCAAGCACTTTAGTTATCGCAGCCGTCAGAGTCGTTTTCCCGTGGTCCACATGTCCTATAGTTCCTACATTACAATGTTTTTTCTCCACAAACTTGGTTTCTGTTTTGGTAGACAATTTGTTAGCAAAAACACCAAAAAATGCCGGTTTATATGAAAAAACATCGTGGTTAATAGGTGTTTTACGAGTGAAATTACAATAAATCGTACGAATTATTAACCTCCCGTTCATATTTTATGTAAATATTTGTTTATTTATCATTAAAATAATTAGAAGACAAAGGTTATGTTGAAATTTAAAGTATAAATTATGAATGAAGAATGACAGCAACTGATTACACCAAGTTCATGACTGACGCAAATTGACATTACAAGTTATTTTAAAATTCGTCGAAATTGTTCAGGCAAAAAGCATAGTCCATACAGTCCAGTCATATGTTTTTTTGTTTTTGATGTCATCATTCGTTAGTATTATGGTATTTAGATAGAAAAATGTTAATGTTATGTAAGGGGGAGGGTCAATCTACAAGAGTTGCGTTATGTAATATTTAAACGTCTTTTTAGTATAATTTTCTAGGAGTGGCCTGGTTCTTAAAAAACAATCAAATATGTATTTGTACAACCCATTGTCCCTGTTCCTGGGAATAACACAAACAATTCTGAGGGGACTCCCTCCCCCCCCTTCCCTAAGTACGCACAATTCGAAAAGAAGTACATTCGTAATCCAAATGTAAATATTTTCAATTTTCTAAATTTTACATAGGATTTTTAAAATAAATAATAAATTTAGTCATCAAATCAGAAGTACTCGAAACGAATGGAAAGAGGTTATGCGATTAAAAAAAATATTTCATAGTTTATTAAATATTTTTTAATGTCATGTAACACTTGGCAATTTATTATAAACAGCAAACAATGACTCATTGTCAAGAAATAAAAAAATATTGTGTATCATAAAAAGTAATAAAGAATTTTTGCTCTGCCAAATTAACCAGTAGGTAGATACATTTTTAATAAAACTCAGTGGCAGAGCTGACGGTCCACCTGATGGAAAGCGTTAACCGTCGCCTATAGATATGAATAGTACCGGACGTTAAAGTATATTCTGTTATACCAATAATACCCCTCTTGCGTTTCCATAGGTTTTAAATATCAATCCATCAGATGGAAGTTGGTAGGTAGATAGCTGTCATCTACGGAGTATATTGCATGGCCGTAGCTAGGGAGGGAACATTAAGAGGCAATGCCCTACCTTAAAATAAAAAGCCCCAAGTAAATTTACTTTTTCGAAGTTACTTAATTATGGCTTTTGCCCTGCCAAAAAGTTTCTTTTGCCTTACTTTAAACATGGGTCTAGCTACGGCCCTGGTATATTGTCAAGCCCATGCATAGTAATTTACTATATAGTTGCCATCTTTCAAATTTGTGGAAAGTGATAGGGGAATCACAATATTTCACTTGCAATAAAAAAATTTAAAAGATAAAACAATTGAATGTGTGACAATCTGGAAATTACAATCAAATTATTGAAAGAGTTAGCCATTTAATTTTCAATCACATTGCTTGGTAATTAGACTTCAATATTGACTAAGGGCATTTGAGTATAATTCTATTTCTATATTATTATACAGTGTTTTAACTAACATTGTTTTTCACTAATTTTGTCATGTTCTAATGAAAGGGTACAATTAGAGCATATAATAGTAATAACAATATTCATTAGACCTTTTTAATTCCTGTTTTTTATGTTCAGTTTATTATATAACTCATAAATGGATAACACAGTAAGATTTATAAATTTGATTTACAAACTTAATTCACTAGAATTCTAAATGATAATGTCTGTCAAAATAAATGTTTAGTTTCAATCAAAATTAAATATTCAACATTAAAAAAAAAATTAACAATATTTAATATCATCATATCATCCGTTGACTGTTCTTTGCTGAAAAGACTTCCTCGCTTTGGGAGTTTGCCAAATCCAAGGGGGGTTTGGCAAACTCCCAGTCTTTCCATATGAGGAAGTTTTATGTATATTTTTTATATGTGAGGGTCCAAATATATAGTAAATATACAAAACTATCAAATCAAAACGTTAAGTTTAGAGCAATAGTACCTCAGAGTAGATCCTAAAGTAATAATTCCATAACGTTTTCCCCCAAAAATAGAATAAAACAAAATATTACTCCGTGTGATCCGGGCATCGAATGAGCTACCTTTTCCTTTCCCGTGGGTGCCATAAAAGGCGACTAAGGAAATTTAATGGTTGAGGGATGCAAAGCAGCGTCCCTCTCGAAATACCATCAACTTGCTATAGTTGCCAACCCGCCTGCCGAGCGTGGCAACTACTGGCGGAACCCCTTAGTAGGGGGAGACCTATGTACAGCAGTGGACAGTAAACGGCTGTTATGGTATTAGATATTTATAACTTTTATTAATTTTTTTATTTCAGTTTTCCTAAAAATATTAACCAATTTACTCATATAAAAGTAAAAGCTATTACAAACGCATTTTAATTATCACACTGTTTTGTCACTTTCTTTCACATTGGGAATTTAGCGCAAAAGATAGAGACAAAACAGTTCAATAACTAAAATAGGTTTTCTATGCGAGATTTGATGTTTTTATGAATAAAGGAATAATAAGCTTATACAGCCATTGTACAGATAATATCTGTTGGTTCAGTTATTTAATCTTGAAATGACAAAATTAGACATCATATGAAATATGAAAAAATAAATTTAAAAAATATTATAGAAAATTTATTAAATTTAAACAAAATGTAAACTTAACAATTATTTTGACAGATTTGTCAATGTTCATATTTTCAATGCACAATATGTTTTAAGGTAAAACATTGATCAGATTAGACACGGCGTAGATTCAATCTAATTATAAAAACTTACAGTATCTTTCACTATTACAAACTAAATATTAATAATAACATATGTCAACAATTGTTACGCACCGCTAATATTTTATCGCGTATTTCATAAAAAAAAAAACAGGATGTAAACTTATCTGTACATAAGCGAATATATTGAACTATAATTATTGAACATAATACAGCATTAATTTGACATAAATAAATATGATGAAACCAATTCCACCCAAAAAAATGTGGGGGAAATAATTATTTACTTATTTTAAATAACTTTACACGCGTATCCCTTCAAATATGTGACTGCACACATACTATAATTAAATCCAAAGAAACATAATATCTTACGTTACGTACAGGTTAGAAATAAATTACCTACGCCGTGTGTGGTAATCTAAAAAAGTTTAAACCCAACAATGATTGGATTACTATATTTTGAAGCCAAAGACAATGATTTCGTTAGATTTTTTGCGTTACCTTCTATCTCTTTCACACCCCATCGGAGTAGGCAAGAGGAGTTAATAGAAAAAGAAATTAAATAATGGCAAACTATGTAAAATATGACAAAGCATGTCTTTCTATCATGGAAAACCGATGCGGTGTTTGTTTACACAGGTGAGTTGTCTTCTATCTCCCTTACACTTAATAGTAACGTCGAGACAGAGAACTTAGGCGTCTTATAAAGTCAAATTATGTTACTCCTTTAGATAAGTGGCAAACGCATACATCTGTAGATTTCGTTGAGGTCGTGGTTTTTCCAAGAGAATACAGCATGGGGTTCTTAAAAAAAGGGGTAAAAAGCTTTTTTCAGGGTCGGCAACAGGCGTACTTCCCCTGGTATTGCAGGCGTTTATAGGCTACGGTAAACGTTTGCCATCATGTGGGCCGTATGCTTGTTTGCCACCTTAGGGGTATAAAACAAGCATGAATAAAATCACGACGCCGGAGATTGCTATCTCGTTCTATCTCAACTCTGGACGACCTCCGTGGTACAATTGTAAGCGATTTGCTTTAATGTAGATGAGGTCCCGAGTTCGATTCTCGGTTGAGTCGATTTAGGAGACGAATTTCATGTTTGGGTGGCATTGGCATTGCCTAATTTGGTTTCTCATAACATATTTTGTGTTCCTCTTATCTTGGGGACTAGATACTTTATTTATCTATGTCACATATAAACCTATAGTGGTATTTACCGACAGATTCGTTTGCCATTTGCCAATGGGGCATGTTGCATGTTTGTATAGATTTAAATTTTTTGCGTTAGCCCTAATAGTTGTTATATTTAAACATTTATATAAAACCGTCTAGTGAACACCCGAGTCACGAGGCTAACGCGTTTCGTCGCAACGTAACGCAGAAATCCGTGTTTTATTTCTACATTTTCAAAATTAAAATTTTTCGCGTATACAGGATAAATTAGCATCAGTTTAAGCAAGTTTTCTAGCAGTGAAAGGATTTTATTTTCTAAATAAAAAAAATATGCCAAGGAGTTTTTAACCTTTCATACTAGTGTTTTTAAAGTATTTTTTTTATACGGTCACTTTAAAGAAATTCAATTTTTGTTATTACGTTTTGGAATTTAGGTAATATACATGATATATTGATAAATATAACGCCATCTATCGGTACTAAATTGAATTAACATTGCAGTGCTAGATGGCGTGACAGGTATAGGCGTCAGCAAGAGAGGCAAGAGAGACATATACGAAATTTTGCAGTTATTAAGCTCGATTCTGAAGCGCCATTTCTCTAAAATTAAAATTTGATACCACAGCGAAATCTTTGCTATAAGGACCCATATGAACAAATTTTTTAATAGATTTAACTCAAAATTATTATACTGCTAAAAGTTTTATAAGCGTACATGCCGCTCCTGATTAAGAATTACGATTTGATACCGAAACTAGTCGAGCTTTCTTCATCTAATTACACGTAAGTTAAACCAGTAGTTATAACATCAAAATTATTCTAATTTTAATTTATAATGGTCCATAAAGCAGTAATTTGCGAAATTATCACATTAAAATATTACGATAACAGATTATAGAAATTTCGTCTCTGAATCGTGCCCGTTATTTAAATATATTATTAATTAGTCCCAAACATACAATAATACTAATATTATAAACGTGGAAAGTTTGTAACAAGTCATACATTCAATCATGCTTTTAATTTATTAATTCACGCGGAACAGTCTATGTACTGTGTTACCCATTGCGCCCATATCTTTACTATAACCCTTTAATGTCCCATACTGACCACAAATCTCTCCCTATAAGAAAAATCCTTTTGCTTTGCCGTAAGAAAATTATTTTAAATAATTTAATAATCAAAGAATTAACTATCGATGGGGAAGAAAGGTTCTCGAGTTCTCGACCTTGCACGGGCAAACGTAGTGTAGGACAAACGCCCAAAAGTGGGGGGAAAGGGATTGTTAGTAATGGAGACTAAGAATCCCATTGCTAGCAATATACCCAACCAGGTCGATCTCCTCACGGTTCCCTCTGGAAACTATCATGGTTAATTCCTGATGAATTCATCATGATGGGCTAACTGGCCTGTTTTCATTCTCATCGATCACCCTTTACTGGTGCTCCGCCAGCGTATACCGTTAGCGCAGGCGGGGTTACCATTTCATTTTCACTCATAAAAAAAACCCTCCAACAGTTGGAGTGAAGACCTCAAATGTATTGCAGGGAGTCAGTGAATGCAAGTGGCTGGGGACTATTCCTTATGGTAGCCTACGATTATTATGCCTATGTTCAGCAGTGAACAGATAGTGGTTGGGATGATGATGATGATGATTTTAAGTCACTGTTTATAATTTTATAACAGATATATCTTGTGATATAGAATGATACTAGTGTCAGCTAACATTGTGGTACAGTATTTACTAAAAAGAAATTGCATTAATACATATGAATAACATGAATTTACAATATTTACCGTTTGCGACAGCAATTTTTGAATTTAGAAACTGTATTGTGTCAGTTACCTATAGATTTTTACAATCAAATCTCTTATTTATTGAACTTAATAATTTAGTAATACTTTAACAATGGTTTCTGTGATCTACCATCTGCACAAGGTTATAATAAATCCTAGATTTTTTAAATTCCGAAGCTAGGTCAAGCGAGTTTTAGAAAATCAGTCAATTGTCAGTACTGCGCTTCGCTGCGTTACATTGCGTTTTTACGACTAAATACAGTTTTTTTTTAATTATTTCATAATTCGTTCGCTTACTCTACGATACAAGTAAAGAAGCAGTATTTCTTTAGTTGTGACTTGTACAAGTGTATATATGGGAATTCTCATTGTTTCAACACCCGATAGTGCAGTGTGAACTCCACATTAGATTTCCATATAAAATGTCGTACTGTTCTTAAATCCATGTTGGGGTCCAAAACCTGGAAAAATATAAGATTTTTATAAAGTAAAAAATTCAAATGCAAGACTTTGTGCAAAAGTTGTTTTCGGAGGAAACTTTGGCTGTGTTTTGGATTGAAGGGTGAGTTATGGCCATTGTCATTAATTATATTAAATAAAGACATAATAATGTCTCCTTACTTTGTGATTTAGTCTTCACGAAAGGTTATGTATAAAGACTGTGATGGGAATGTGTTATGAAAACGAATGGGACAGAGGTATGCAAGCAAATGACATTTATACCAAGAGGGACCCTTAGAAAAATTAGTGCTGTTTGATCCCCATTACTCTCTCCTCCTCTCTGTCGCTGTATAAAGAGACATATTTCCTTTACCTGATCACAGCAAAGCAGTTCGACTCTCTCCTCTGGCGCATCATTGCCACTGTCTTCGTTGGCGCTTCCCTTGCCGCTGCCGGCGCTGGCGCCGTTCACGTCACCACCGCCCACTATCTTTTCTACAACGTGTTCTGCCACTTTACGGCATTGTATGAAGTCGTTTGCGACTAGACGGTCCTGGAATACAGTTAAAGTACAACTACTGTAAAAATATATATAAATATATATGCATTTTTTGGTCTATCATTTCATTATTAAAATTATTTATGTACACTTATATTATTTAAATTATTCTATTGAACAAAATAATCTGTTGGCGACATTAATTTTTTTAAAACTACTCAATATTTCGGTAATTCTATACTTATAATAAATCTGTAAAGAGGTCAATTCTGTACATGAAATATATTTCCATTACCATACCAATTTCACCCATAAAAAAAACTGCAGTTGTCAACCCGCCTATCAAGTGTTGCATCTACTGGCAACAGCCTCTATCCCCCTTATGGGGGATCATAGGCCTCATTCAGCAGTGGACAGTTAATAGCTGATATGATAATAATCATGATGAATGAGGGTGTAAGATGGAGTGTTATGTTATTACCTTTTTCTGTCTATCCTGTTTACTCTGGCAGCTTGAGTGTGACAGTAGATAGAATGGTAGCTTGTTTAACTTTGGTGGCGCCATCTCTACAGCGACATCCACAACCCATGACGGCACTGTCTCATTTAATAAATTGCCTTCTGTTTCACCACCAGCATCACCTACCTGTAAATAGATAATTTATATTTAATAACCGACTTTAAAAAAGAAGCAGTTTCTTAATAAGGTTGTATTTTTATTTGTTATCTGACAACATCATCATTTATTAAGATTTGGAAAATTAACTTTTATCTGAGAGGATATACTTTCAGATTGATCCCATAGAAATTTGCTCAAAATTTGTCTATTTTCATAATAAAGTTTTCAATAAAAAAATTGCTGTGTAATTTTCAGAGATTAATTTATAATATTTGATTTATTATATTTTATATGCTATTCTATACTAGATTCCTAAAGAAATATTAAAAATAAAATCTACACAATATATATGAGCTATAAACAATTAAATAGTGGCCAGACTTTGATCAATAGATATCATAAGTGTATTTAGTAATTAATTAATTTTCATTAAATGATAAGATTTAATTAAACTCCATTCAATATTTACACACATAATAATTAGATAATAAATATGTGTAATATACTTATATAAATAATTAAGAAGTAATGAAACATATTTACATACATATAATGTGATTAGGTCCCTTAGAAACAGTTTATATATTATATACCTTATTAGTATAGAAACATCATAGTTATTAAATTGGTGTAATTAATATCAAATTAGTGAAATTAAGATTTTAATTAATATAGCGTAATAACAAATAACATTTCAATAGATAAAATATATTATTAGAATAATGACTAAAATGAGATACAAAGAATATTACATACTGATAATCTGTATAGTGTCCTGCCACCAACTTCGCTGAATATCAACGGAGTATGTAATGGAACACTGAAGAAATTGTTCCCTATAACTTTCTGGCCGGCTTCGTTCATTCTGCTCGGGTGATTCCAATGTTCCAACAATGCTTGCAGCAACAGTGCTCCAAAGTTGACCTTCTGATCATTTTCTGTTGTCAATCCAGCCTCCTTTGCACTCACCCATGCACTTAGACAGTCCGTTTCATCTTGGCCAAGATGGATAGTTAACATACCAGTTTTCAAATCAACATTAAACCAATTTGGTACGTACACCATTTTAAAGCGTTTTTTCGCTTCCTCATCATAATCTACTTCACCTAAATCCTCAACTTTGCAAGCTTTTAATACATCATATAAGGCTACATTGTTGGCAGTATCCTTTGTCAGTATATGTCGTTTGTCATTTAGCACAGTATAGTGTTTTATAGCAGGGCCTCCAGGGATATGATGGATTGGCTGAGTTTGGTATACATTGGTTGTGTTATAGCTATTCTGATTATACATATCGGAACTTAAGGAGTTCCTTGGAGGCAATTTCCAGCACCGTATATCTGATTCAGATGTAGACACCCACACACCTTGTTGGTCCGCAGTAAAGCATAACTTCAGTATAGGAGCAGTCTCCTCACACACAATCACAAAGTTATCAGGGTTTCGTAATTCTGTTATAATGACTAATCTATCCCGACCCCCAGATATAATATGTGTGAAATTTTCAGTTGCTAACAAAGCCCAAACCGCTTCCGAGTGCACTCTAATTGTTGAGACGCATCGTTGTTGTGACAAAGACCATAATTTTATAGTGCCGTCTGAACTACCAGATACACATTGCGATCCATCGCGACTCACGACTAAAGCTTTAACATTATCAGCGTGGCCTTTTAGTTTCATAAGTCGAGAACAGTTACGCGGATCCCAAACTCTTAAGACTTTTTCAGTAGAACCACTAACGAGAATAGTACCTGGGGGATTCATAGCGAGGCTGTATATAGATTCCTTGTTGCCTACTAAACTAGAAGTAGTAACAGTGTTGTTACTGGCCGTTAACGCAGTCAAAGTGTTGACATCCCATAAAAATATAGCGCGGTCCAACCCGGCGCTGGCGACTTGCTCTTTGTCTTTAGCATAGGCCAAAGTACGTACATAATCCTTGTGAGTCCTAAGAGTAGACATGCAAAACCCTTTTGGAGCGTTCCAAACTTTGACAGTCGTATCAGAGGATGCGCTTATAAGGTTCTTTCCGCCGCAACACAACACAATGTCGTTCACCCAGTCGGTATGGTGTTCCATGCTCTGAATGTACCTATCTTGGACACCATTTCCAGTAGACCACACTCGGATAATACCGTCGCGACCGGCCGAATAAAGCCTCCCTTGTACTGGGTCCAATTGTAATGAGCTAACGCCATTTTTGTGCCTTCTCTCCTCCTCGTCGCGTATCACGAACGACACTTGAGTTTTCTTACGCATCGTCGTGCCCATTTTCCGACATTTTAAACTTTAATTATTAGGTATATTTTAAATAAATATGCTATTTTATTTTCGCGTACACGAAACTCGTATCAGTCCAGTCAACAACTTCACTTTCAGACATAAACTGTCAGTTTGACTATCAGAATGACACACGATTCTTGATAGATTAGTTTGACATTGACTTATGGCTTGTCCATAGATTAAGGATAGTACTTGCGGTTTCTTAGATTAAGCTCGCATCTCGCATGTAAACATCTCGCGATTTTTCTTACAGAATAATTTATGCGAGATCAATGTGTACATAGAGATTATAAAAAGTTTTAAAAGAAGAATCAAAGGTAGTTGTTATATTTATCAATTTTCATTGAAAGAATATATTTAATTTAATAACCATTTAAAAAGGTATTATCCAATTCACATGTACTTTTTGTGTAAAGTAGACATTACCTTTGTAAATATTTAAACGATTTTAATATTTTATCTTCAATAATCTTTAATAATATCATTATTGATTTAATACAAATTTTAACATAATTAAAATTGTCTATTGAAAAAATTTTGTTTTCGATTTTTTACCTGTATATTTTATAATTTAATTTTTTCTTGGCATTAGACAGGTATTTAATATTTTTCATAATAAATAAAAAAAAAAACACATTGGTTATTATGTTTTTATTATACTTTTTCCATAATGTAAATTCGTTCCTCTAGTTACTTCATTCTCCATAAGATTTTTATACGAACTTGTATAAATTTCGACTATATATTTCAAGCCGGTGCTTCTTTCGCTTTCAAAGTTGATCTTTACAAAATTCTCATTTATTCCGCCATCAGTTATTGTCGCTGTTGCTTCTTTATTTGGCGATAAATCAACACAGGCGATGCCTGTTATAGTTGTTCCAAGGGGATACGAGAAAGACTTAGTGGCGTGTCGCTTGAAAAGTAGTAACCCGTGTTTTTTCACTTCTGCGTACGACATGCGTGTACCGAAGTCGTAACCTCTATACAGATCGTAACTATGACACAAACTAATAATATAAATCACAATAATATACAAGTATAATTTTTGATACATGTTTTTTTTCCAATAAAAATATGTACCGATATGTATGTGTATCAGCTAGCTTTATTTGTGTCAAACTAGATTAACAGTACGCTGATAAAATATGATGAAAAAAATGGTAAACAAATGGGTTTACAAAGTTAAGGGTAAGTTTGTTTTTTTTTTAAATCATGAATTAGATTGGTAACTCCGCTATGCTTTTAAGCAAAACTATCACTGAGCCTTTTTTGGTCACTGCGACACACTTGGTGAAAACATATCTCCAATATTCATCTTTTGTTTTATGTTTGAAAAAATGTAAATAATCAGATTGTATAAATTTATTTATTAATTTACGTGTGTCATAAATGTCTCAAATAAAGTGTTTACCTATCTATGTACTATCTATGTACTATTTATTGATTTATGCTCACGGAGTATAAGTGAATGATAGGTGAGGATAAAGTTAGATCAAGTACTCTATTATGAAGAATTAACTAGAAAGTAACAATGATGGTTTGTTTCTAAAGGTATTTCTTCAGTGTAATATCATTAATGCAAACGGAATACCATTGAATTTAAAAAGTTCTAAAAAGTATGTAGTAGCTAGAAGTAACAAAATGCAACTGCCTAAGGTTTATAACTTTTTACCTGTTGCTCCGTTGTTTTTTTTTTTATTTTTTTTTAATAAATTTAAATTTAGTGTTTCTATTATTATTATAAATACAAAAAATTATAAGGATAGATAAATAGACGGATAGATGGATGTTTCTATGTTCTATCTGTTCTCCTTTAACTAAAGGTTGTCTGTAAGAGATTGCCCTAGCGATAAGACCGCCTTTTGTACCTTTGTGTGTATGTTTTGCTTTGTTATTTGTGTTGCTGTGTTTCGCTTGAATTATTCACTTGTCATTGTATATTTTTATTTATGGTGTAATAAAGAGTTAAATAAATAATAAATGTTTGTTACTCTTTCATGTAAAAACTACTAAACCGATTTTAATAAAATATGGGTGAGTGACTTAAACTTTAACTTGGCACATAGGAGAGTTTAAATACTAATTCACGCAAACGAAGCCGCGGGATATAGCTAGTTATGCATATAAATAATAATCATTCCCCTTAATTGATAAGTGTGCCATTGTGTTAATGTCAAGTGACCTAAATAGTCAGAGAGCTGGTGGCAAATTTTAATGAAGTGCTTTTTTTAACAGTAACTAAAGTTCGTAGTAATAGTACCCTGAAGGGGGGGGGAAAGGGATTGTTAGTAATAGAGACTGAGAATCCCATTGCTAGCAATATGTCTAACCAGGTCGACCTCCTCGCGGTTCTCCCTGGAAACTATCATGGTTAATTCCTGATAAATTCATCATGATGGGCTAACTGGCCTGTTTTCATTCTCATCTATCACCCTTCACTGGTGCTCCGCCAGCGTATCCCGCTAGCGCAAGCGGGGTTACCATACCATTTTCACCCATCAAAAAAAAAATAGTACCCTGAATGTTACCTATCTGAACATGTACCTATATTTAATCTGTTATCAACGTTATGAATTCATTTTTTGTAATAAATAGTAGGCATGATATGATGATTGTTTTACGAATTAATAATATCTATGAAAAATATTATTTTGTTTATTATCTATTCTTATATATTCTTTATTGTATTTGTAATTTATATCGTTAAAGTATTTATAAATATTGTGAGCAAGGGTGGATTTACCTCTGACAGAGATCTCTTACAGTGAGCCCAATACAGAAAACATGTCGTTAGCAAGCAGCTGAAGTACATGGATGTATAGATTATAATCACATAGTGTATGTATATAATTTACCACAATTTATTGGTCATTTAATAATACATATAAATAGAATTTAATCCTAATTATCATGCACTATTCATGCAAATGTAAAATTATCTTGTATATAATAATTTGAAAAGAGTAATTGTTCAGTTTCTTGCGGATTCTTCTCAGCAAATAACAATATCTCGAACCCAGCAGTACAATTATAAAAGATTTACGATTTAAAATAGCTCGTAAACAAGTCTGTTTGAATAAATATTATTTCCATTCTATTCCATTTTTAGTTATTTAATATTATAGTACTTGAATATTATACCATTATACATTTTTCCATCAGCTCTCAAACTAGATACTACTATAGTAAGATAATTTGAGATAACTTGAACTTTGTCTACTCTATTACCGATTTTATAAGAATAATAGCATTTAACACGCTATTGTGTATTAATAATAATAATAAATAATGATTTATTTATTATTATTATAAATTTTTATTAAGTAAAGGGTATTGTGTTTTTGACGTTTTTTAAATCGTACCTGTGTGTGACAGAGTAAGGAATGTTTTGTCATTCATTCATATGACTAGCTTTTTAGTATGTGTGGATTTTGCGAGTACGTGGTTACTTCTAGAAGTAAGAATAATAAAATATTATAAGATTATGTTATAACCTGTGTATACTGTGTATACCAGAGGGAGACTTTATACAAAAGTCGATTGCTTGGGTACCTTTGTCCTATTCGTGTTTCAACCGTGAAGCAGCTGTGTTTACAAGGCTGTGTTTCGGTTTGAAGGGTGGGATATGGCGTGAATTTACTGGGTACAGAGTAATGGGCTGTTTACATAGCTCGAAGAACCGATACTCGATGGGGAAGAAAGGTTCTTGAGTGGCGACCCCGTACGGGAAAACACAGTGTAGGACGATCCCTCACTAGATGGAGTGATGACCTGAAATGCCTTTTAGGAAGTGGTTGGAGATGGCTCTGGACCGTTCTTTATGGCAGTCTATGGGTGAACAGTGGATGTGTGGTAACAGTGGACGAATAATGGCTGATATGATGATGATGATGATGACATCAGAACTTTAGATTATCTCCCAAGTAACCAGTGCAAAGATTTTACTTTATGGTTAAGTTTATCTCGTTTCTTTTGCTTTAACTAAAAAAGAACACAATTAATATTAGATGGGATCAACACGGAAACTCCATCCATTAAAAAAACATTTCTAACATTTTCTTGAAGGCAACATAGGCAAATTTTTATTCTAGTTATTCAATTTGTCCTCATCACGCGAACGAAGTCGCGTGTAAACGCTAGTATAAGTAACAATACATTTTTCTCTCGAAGTCACAATACATACTTTCAGATATTTGTATGCAAATTTTATCAAAGAAAATAAATACAAAGGAAAAAACCTCAGAGGTAAATACAAAACGCTACCTTTCCCGATTGAGTAGACTTTGAAGTACGTATTTTGTCAGATTAATCGAGTGTAAACTTGTATTGAGCAGTACAGGTGTAGTGCTGCTACTAAGACAGATTGCGGGACGAGGATAAAGGATGGGACATGTGTTTTCTTTAGACATGACTCGAAAAATATATTGGCCTAAAATCGCTGGATTGCGTACCACAATCGAAGCCATAGATTTAGTGTGGTAAGGAATATTTAGTTTATGGTCAAAAGGTTATTTTTTATGTATTATACACGAGTAGTAATAGTATTATTAAAAAAAAATATAACGTAGGTATATCATAAAAGTATCAAGGTACATATCATAAAAGTTAAGTCATATATAAATCCTGAATCGAGTATGTTTATATAAATTCACAATTTGGGCCTCAACGCGATGCCATTACTAACATGTAAATAGCACGTTCATACCTAATATTTATTGTTATTATTAGGTTTCATAATGTCTACTTTTCTTATTGAAAAATCCATCAATCAATAAATCCATCAAACAAGAAAAAAAATATCAATGCTTGTCAGTTTGTTTTTGATTTAAATTGAATGGTAACTACATGTACATGGCGTGAATTTACTGGGTACAGAGGAATAACACCTGAGTCCTCAGGAATGGCAACGCATGGGGGGTATCATGGGCGAAACAGTATACTCTGTTATGTCCATGGTACTGCTCATGTCTATAGGCGACGGTTACCACTTTCCATCAGGTGGACCGTCAGCTTGTTTGCCATTCTAAGTTTTAAAAAAAAAAAATGTAACGATAACTATATGTAATGGTAACTACATGCAACGGTAATTACATGTTAGTAACTACA